GGGTCAGCAACATTTTTCAGCCGTGGGCTGGTCCACCATCCCTCAGACCATGCGGTGGGTTTTTGAAGAAAAAAAATGAATGAATTCCTGTGCCCCACAAATAACCCAGAGATGCATTTAAAATAAAAGGACACATTCTATTAATGTAAAAACACGCTGATTCCCGGACCGTCCACGGGCTGGATTGAGAAGGCAATTGGGCCGCATCCAGCTCACGGGCCTTAGGTTGCCTACCCCTGAAATAGACTGTCAGTTGTCCAGTGTGTCAATCCTACCCTAGCAGCAACTTTGGCCTGTGTTATAGCTGGAATGTGTTGTGGGAAAGCATGTTTGATTATGTGATGCTTCCTGGAATTATCAAATTTGTATGCACAGCAGTATTTCAACTGTTCTACAGTATGTTTTTTGCTGTTCATTTTGAAAGAGTCCATTTTTAAAAATAAGTAATTGATATCTTTGTGTTCTCAAAATAGTTCATGAGATATGCTTATTTTTATCTGTAAAGATAAAGTCAGAAGTCTAATTGAATAAAAATATGCAAAGCATCTGCAAGCAGTAGAATGACACATGGTTCTACTGTTTGCATCTGGTGTAAATCCAAGAAGTACCCTTGGACAGATGACTGTCTCCAATATGGCGTCAGAAAGTGGTGGGAAGCTAATTTAAGCTCATTCATCTAGTAGTGCTGTCATTTTCCAGTAATGTATACCAAGCTTTTGTACTGGAAAAAACATTTGTATCCAGAAGTGTTGTAATGCTTTAGTTACAGAGTACTACAGTTTCAGTAATCCTAAAACCCAATTTCCATGATAGCAAGAATGAAGAATGTTTAAAATAGTTGCCATAAATACTCATTAAAAATTCAGTCAGAAAGATGAAGAAACGAGCCCCACTCTTTAGGTATAAAGAAATTTAATTGAGTTAAATATTTTTACCTGCACATTCCTCAACTTAGTCTGTATTATGTCCCCACATCAGTCAAATTGAGGAAATATATTTTAGATTTCACTCAAAATGTGTTTCATTCAGTCAGTTAACTTTGGACCTGCAGTTTCATAATAGAACACTAACATTTCTAAAGAAGATCTATTGAAGCTTGACAATCACCTCAGTTAAGCTAAGGAAATCTACTATTGTAAATCATCTTGTATGTGCTTATGACTGGTTATGCATATTTGAACGCTTTTGTAAATGATCTTGCATGTGCATATAACTTGCTAGGCATATATGACATATACAACACAGGATGTGGTTTATTGCTGAAAACATTACAATAATGTGTTTTTAGTCATCATAAGAAGCATTGTTGCCTAGCTGGCAACATAAGTGTTTTGAAATGCATTGAAAAGAAAATATTGCTTTGAGTTGCATTCTATTCAAATGCTTGACAGAATGGCATTTCCATCCATGTTCTTGTTACACTTTTACAGCTTGTTCATATGTGACTAGAGAAGCTTTAGGGTCAAAGTATGTTGTTGTTAATTTGCTAGTGTATTAAACTTTACGGGATGCGGGTGGCGCTGTGGGTTAAACCACAGAGCCTAGGACTTGCCGATCGAAAGGTCGGCGGTTCGAATCCCCGCGGCGGGGTGAGCTCCCGTCGTTCGGTCCCAGCTCCTGCCTACCTAGCAGTTCGAAAGCACCCCTAAGTGCAAGTAGATAAATAGGGACCGCTTTCTAGCGGGAAGGTAAACGGTGTTTCCGTGTGCGGCACTGGTGCTGGCTCGCCAGATGCAGCTTAGTCATGCTAGCCACGTGACCCGGAAGTGTCTTCAGACAGCGCCGGCTCCCGGCCTCTTGAGCGAGATGAGCGCACAACCCTAGAGTCGGTCACGACTGGCCCTGATGGGCAGGGGTACCTTTACCTTTAATCTATTTAGCCCCCTTGCACTCATGGAAGGGGTTTCCTCCAGCAGATACCAGATCGAAGGTGCAGATTAAATCTGGCTGTTTATGAGCTGGAAGTCTCCCATTCTAGATGCAAAATGAATGGTATAAAGTAACACAAAAGAAGAAGGGAAATCATGCATGACTTTTAAATTTAGTCAAAAGGTTTTTATAATCTTAGATTCTAGATTTTTTAAAAAATGCATGTTTCATTGTTTTCTGCTCGTAACATATACATACTAAAAAGATGCATGGATCTTTGGTTAAATTTTCTTTATTTATAAAAAATGTTTATATACCATTATGTCATTTTTAAAAAAAAATATCAAAGCAGTTTAGAACAATAAAACATAAAACTCTACAATATAAACCATATTAAAAAGTTAAAAACAGACATCAATTAACCATTGTGGAAAGATGTATTCAAACTGCCTATGTGGGCCTGGCAGAATAGAAAATTTTCAGCATGCATTTAAAAGTTGTTTTGTATTTGATTTATAGAATATATATAATAATGTTATGTTACTAAGCAATTAAAAAAAACAAAACCAAGAAAAAATTTACAGACCCCTCCCCCCAAAGCATGCATTTAAAAGTTGTCACAAAAGGTGCCTGCTGAATCACTATTGGCAGAGTATTCCGCCAATGATCGGGGTGATGGAAGTTGTAAGTCAACAACACTTGGAGGCTAAACCCTGTCATAAAATGTTTGTTAAATAATGTGGTCGTACTACTTTGATGAAACTACATCTAAGTCTAAGAAGCATTGCCATTCAAATTGGTATTTGTAAATTATATGGAATGTGTGTTAATGTTTTCTATATTAAAGTGACAGGCCATATATTCACACAGATGGAATGTATATGTACACCCCACCCTTCTAATGCATAGTCATTACTTAGGACAGCTTGCTGTGATTAAGGTCATCTATAGAATACAATAACACTTAATAAAATAGCCATTTAAAGTACAAGAGAGACAAACTGAGCAGATAAAATGGTCATTAGAAGCATTATCTACTTAGTTGGAACAGAAGCCTTCTTAAACAAAAACAAAAACAAGTCTGAACTATTCAACAAAAATAAGGGAGAGTCCAGCTGAATCTGAAAGCTAGACTATAGACAAGAAATATCTTGGAAGTAGGGGCATGAGCTAAATCCTTTATAACCTCAGTTAGAATGGAAGGCCACCACCTGTACAGCAGTAAAGATCAGCCTTGTTATATAAACTTTCTACATAGGATAGCTGAATGAGGTCCACAAATGCTTTCCTGTTCACCTTCTTGATCTTCAGTGTTCTGTTATGCAATCAGATGTCTGTGGTGCGACTGAAACGGCAACATAGGATACATCCCTATTCTAAAAGAGAGGTGGAAACTTCAAGCCCAGCTGCTGAATGTGACCCTCCCACCCCACCCCACCCTGTACGTGGCCCTTGGAACTCTCCATGGGCTGCAACCCTCACCAGTCTTCCTTCATACCCTCCTTGAGGCAGGTGGGTGTATTTAGAAACCCCTGGCTTCTGTGTGGCTGGGAGATATCTTATTGTACAAAGGTTAAGAGGCCTATCCATTACTCTACCCACTTTTGCCTTTGACCACACACACCTTTGTCTCTAGGTTTGCCCATCATTCTCGTAAAATATGCTCCTTATGACTCCCCACCCCCACCCAAAATTAGGGCAAGGAAATTATTTTTCCTAAGACAATCCATTGCAAGCCTAACTATGACCATAATAAGAGAAGGCAAGAGTTACAACCGTGCGGCCAATTTTTGTTGTAAGTGTAGCGCTTGTCCTTTTCTGGTTTTGGTAGATCTTTGAGCAAGATTCCCCAAGTGGGATACTTCTTCTGGCCTTCAGTTACTGTTGCTCGTACACTAACCCTCTTTCTTCTGGTCCAGTCTAGATAGCTAGCATGAGAGAGTGACAAGGTGAAGTGGAGATCGCGCCTCTTCCTCTTGTCACTGCCTGCTCTCTTAGAGAGGACTGATGGCTGTGCAGCAACAGCAAGGAGTAGCAGAACTGGACCAGAAAGCTTGTTGAGGCAATAACCTTGGCAGGTGTTTGATGACATGGACTCCTGACAACAAACATAGGGTAGAACACACATTCTGTTTCCACCAGATGTCTTCAAAACCCAGAGATTTTTCTCTACCATAAATCAAAGCGAGGAAGGTGTGACTTCCAGTGGCTAAGAAGTGGGCAAGAAGGTCAATTGTTAATCCTTCTCTTTCTGGGTGCTTTTTTCCTCTCTACCTAGCAAGGGCTCCTAGACTGTGCTTCCATCTGGAAGTGAGTTTGGGGGATTGTAGTTAAGTGAATGGCTTCTTTGCTAGCAGTCTCAGCCTGCTTTAAAGTGGAAAACCTATAGCTGAGTTTTGCAGACAGGCAGTGGAGATGGAATGGGTAGGCCTGCCCTGAAATGTAATGGCAATGCAAGATGCACTGAGTAGGGCTATTACTGTATTTTTCGTCCCATAGGGCGCTCTGGCCCATAGGACGCACCTAGGTTTTTTTTTTGGGGGGGGGAATAAAGGAAAAAATGTTTTTCCTTTATTTCCCCCCCAAAACCAGGTCGGGGAACAGCGGGATGGCGGCGCTCCGCCTCCCCGCTGTCTCCCGAGCTTGTGGGCTTCAGGCTGCTCCCCGCAAGCCTTGCGAGCCCGCAGGAACTCCCCCCGTGCGCGCAAGGCTTGTGGATAGCTTCCTGAAGCCTGGAGAGCGAGAGGGGTCGGTGCACACCGACCCCTCTCGCTCTCCAGGCTTCAGCGAAAGCCTGCATTCGCCCCATAGGACGCACACACATTTCCCCTTCATTTTTGGAGGGGGAAAAGTGCGTCCTATAGGGCGAAAAATACGGTAAATGGAACAGAATGGTGTAGTAGCAGGTGGGAAATTCATTTTGCTCGGTGGTGGGAGACAGGAGGACTAATTTGCTAACTTTATTACTAGCATTAATATTCTACCATTCTATAAAAATTGAAGTTGGTAGAAGAGGTGAGAGTAGGATTACCTTAGCATAATCCTGCTTTTCTTTTATTTGTTGCCTAACATGTAATGCATTTGTTTGGATGTATTAATAATGAATTCATTCTTGTTTGCTTCGATTCTAGGAGTTTGCGGCACTTACTAAAGAACTTAATGTTTGCAGAGAACAACTCCTTGAAAGGGAAGAAGAAATTGCAGAACTGAAAGCAGAACGAAATAATACAAGGGTTAGTTAATTATCTGATATCATTTTGTTGCTATTGCATGCAATGTTGCTCTTGACTTTGCTTTTTAAATTAAAGGGGGAAGTGAATGGATAGAACCTTAAGCTATGCTCTTACCTTTCTGAATACGGTGCTTCTGTGTGACATGTATGTTTGGGATGTGCAAGGCTTGAAAAAATGAATGAATGAATGAATGAATATATATATATAAATTATATAAATATACAACCATCAAATCAAAATCAGATAAGCCACAGATTGCACTAATAGGGCAATGTATATAACAAGTAAGATTTTATATGCAAGCTGTATTGAGCTAAAAATGCTGCAAACCAGGAAGTTAGTAAATGAATTGTGAGTATGTTTGTGGAAGAGGAAGTATTAACAGCCCAAGGATGACCAAACAGTGTTATTGCCTGGTGTTGCATGCAGACTAACCCAGTAGAGTGGTACCTTGGAAGTCGAACGGAATCCTTTCCGGAAGTCCGTTTGACTTCCAAAACATTTGGAAACCAAGGCGCTGCTTCCAGTTGGCTGCAGGAAGCTCCAGCCAATCGGAAGCTGCGGAAGCCACGTTGGACGTTCGGGTTCCAAAGAACGTTCGCAAACCGGAACACTCACTTCCAGGTTTGCGGCGTTCGGGAGCCAAAACGTTCGACTCACAAGGCGTTCGGGATCCAAGGTACGACTGTATGAATTTATGCGGGGAAATGTAGTAGAGTGGCTCATGGGTGCACGCCTACTACATGTGTGGGAATGGATATCTTCCTTTTGTACCTACATATTCCACACAGTGAATTTTGGTGTTAATGCAGCAAATATGCCTCCTGTGTGATAAAGTATGAATTTGTCCTTACCAGTCAAATGTATTTTTCTGAATGCTGAACTTAAGAGTTTCAGAATGAAATCATAATCATAAATTGCCACCAGGTATGATTTCTTGCCAGTATTGCCCATCGTAAGCTTCAGATATAACATTATTTAGCTAAACGTACTGTTTTACTGAGTTCTGGAAATCCCCAGGAGTGCAACCAAAAGCTTGCATGTTTGGACTGGTAGCTCTTGGAGATCTCATCATCTTTACTCCTCCAGGCACAGTTTTGAGAATCAGCTTGAATTTATATTTGGTAGTCAGTGCCAGTAGTTGATTACTTGCCATTGAATCTTTCTACTTATTCAGGATTAACCCACTTATGTTTCAGTATGGTAATAATAGTATAATTAGAGCATTTGTGATTCAACTGTGTAAAGATTTTTTTTTGAAAGTGTCATTGGATTTCCTTTATAAAGCCAAATGAAATGTATCACTGCTCAAGATCTTAGGAACCATCTTTTGACCTTTTGGGTAATCATCGATTTTGTCATTCTTTATTTCATCAAATTAGGGCAATACCACACCTGCAAATTTAGCAGCAAGACAGAGCCATCTAAAAACACAGTAGCAGTTCCTGTCCATTTGGGAAATTCCCAGTATTCAGGAGTATATTTGTAAACTAAAAGGGAGTAGGGATAAAAAAACCCATTTGGCCTAACAGGGAACTATTCTCAGCGGCTTCTGCAACTTCTGGAATGTTGTGTGTGTGTGTGTGTGTGTGTGTGTTGGTGGGAGGATATAGTATATTGCAGATAAGAGAGAAATGGCCTCTTTGAACCAGGTTGGGGAAGGCAGTCCAGCAACAGCTGAAGGACCATGGGTTAGCCAGTTTTACATGGGAGCTTAAATTCTCATAATGCTGAACTCTGTATCCTTTGTGAAAAACACTGCATAACAATTTTGCTTAATACAATTATAAATGATGCTCACATTTGCTGTTGTCACTAGTTAAGTAACTTATTGGATCTCAGCTAAAAACACTGCAGGTGATTTATCATTCTATAGGAGACTTTTGCAATTAACTTGCTATGGATGGATCTGGGACCTCTGCAAGGAGGAAAGCAGCTAGGGAGGGCAGTTCTTAGGAAAGGCTAAGCATTTCAGTGGATTTGAAGTGGTGAGGATATAAGACATGTAGAGGTAGATTGTGTAGTTTTATCCTTAGTGAGAAGCTTCCCTGGCTATTAAAGGAATCTCTATAAAGGCTGAGATTACAAGAGAGCATTGATATATGTAAAAATAAATTGCTGGCAGATTATTTATCTGACTTGAGGAAAAAAGAAAACTTTTGAAAATGTCTTCCTATTTTTTTTTGGTTAGCAAAGTACATGGTTTTTTCCTCAGTTGAATTTGCCATGAAACTTTCTGGGCTACACAATTTTTCAGGCAGTCAAAGTTAAAAGAGATCATTTTTAAGACAAACAGAATTCTGTAATTCATGTGGTCATAAACAATCCATCATTGCGGGTTTGGGGTGCACATTGCATCATGATTTTATTTTCAAACAATAGCATAGCGTTTCTTTTCAGATGCTTAAAATGGAATTCATCTGTCTTCCTCATCTAAATTTTGGTTATTTTTCAGCTGCTGTTAGAGCATTTGGAATGTCTTGTCTCCCGGCATGAGCGATCTCTTAGAATGACTGTAGTAAAGAGACAGGCTCAATCTCCAGCAGGCGTTTCTAGTGAAGTAGAAGTTCTCAAAGCACTAAAATCCCTATTTGAACACCACAAAGCCCTTGATGAAAAGGTAAATGTACTGAGTGCATTGTTTATTATTTGAGAAATGTGTAATAAATGGTTATGGCAAACTAATTAAGCGCATTAGTGTAAAAACAGTCTGTCGTTCAAAATTACTCATGTAAGTAATAAATGCAAGTGGAAAAAATAGCTGGCTGACTTGTAAAACTTGTTTGTCTTGGTAATAACTAGCTTACCTTTGTAAGTTTACCTTGTTATAACTAGCTTGCCTTTCTAAGCAGGTGTCAGCCAGTGAATTGGTCTTCTGAGGCAGTCCCCTTGGTAAAACAAACAGAAAAAGTGAAAATAACATTTGCCTTCTACTTTTGTTCAGTTGAAGCTTGATAGCACTGCTGTCTACTCCAAAATATAGATGCCAGGAAAGTGGTGGCAATGTCAAATTGGAGTGCAACAATCTTTTATTATGGTGCCTTCCAGTCCCTTTTCATCCGTTTAGTTCAACTCTTTGTTCCCCTTTTTGCTTCATTTTGTTTCTTCCTCCCTTTTCCCCAGCTTTTGGTATGTGCATAGGGGAAGAGACAGGAAATGAAAACACTTTAATGCATTTGGGTAGTGGGTGGGATCTGTGCCACTTTTAAATTGTGACATAGGAAAAAAAAGAAGTGGTAAGAGCAGAGGGGCCAGCTTTGCCTAATACTGTTAGACGTATATGCTGTAATGCAAGAGAGAGCTTAGCTTCTTCAAGTCCCCTTCCTGACGTCTTTCCCTTCTGAGGGTTGGGACACCCTTCTGAAAAGGTGGGCTGTGATGTAGGGGGCTGAGAAAGGGGATCACTGAAAACTGTGGGTCGTGAGGGAGACGGGGAGGCAGGGAATTCATCCAGTTGCCTCCTGTGCACTTTTTCTATGGATCCAGTTCAGTATGACTATATGACTGTCCATCAAACAGTATGGATAGGCATTGTGAAATTTGAAGTTAAGCAGTTGAAGTCCCAATGACTTCAGAAGAGGCTTATCCTTAACTTTGGTTGAACTGTGTCCTTATTTCCCATTTCATAGCGAACGGTGTTCTGTTCAGTAGCTTCCATCTCTTGCTTTTGGGAATTTCTGGGCATTTAGCCTTTTGAGTAAGCAATCTTACTCCGATCTTTTGAGTAAGCAGTCTTACTCAAATCAATAAACAAGTTCATTTATTTCAATTAATCTACTCTGAGTGTGACTAACATCAGATGGCACACCTGGTCTTTAAGCAAATATTTCATTAGTAGAAAAGCCATGGACGGTGGCTTTGATTGTAAGGATTGTGAGCAGAAATTTGCTCATGGAGTAAGACTTTTGATGTGGTGTAGGGATTGTAAGTGGCTTGGGTTGTGGAAATGAGAACCTTCTACATGATCAAGATTTACCCTTATGCTTGGGCTTTATTGGATCCAGACCCATAAGGTTTATACAGCGTATTCACAGGTGACATATTGATCAATTGAAATTTTATATTTTAATTGTTATAACAACCAATTTCTATGCTTGTTTAGTCTAGAAAGATGGAATACAATATGATAAAATTAATATATTTAAAATCAATTCATCCTATCTAACCATGATATTGTTACCAGTCCACATTTCTGTAGTATAGCTAATACTATACTCTTAAGCTTGTCTGAGCCAGAAGTTCATTGCCTGCAAATGAAATAGGAGTTCTGAATGTATATTGGCTCCATATTGATTTTGCATAAGCTGCTTTTTGTTTGGCATTCCATTGATATTGGAAGAAACATTTCGGTTGTTACTTCATTGTTTTTAAGAATTTAAAGATAATGTTCATTGCCAAAAATAAATATATAACTGCATGTAAATCAAAACTTCTGCACAGTTTAGTTTTGGAATTGTTTGTGTTCACACCTTGGATCTATCTTTTTTAGGTAAGGGAAAGATTACGAGTAGCACTTGAAAGATGTAGCTTGTTGGAGGAAGAACTGGGTACTACACACAAGGAGGTAGGTCATTTCCTTAAAACAAAAACTCCTCTTGTCAGCTCTGAAGGAGCTATTGACTTTTAGAGGGGCCCAAAGAACTATGACTGAAAGGAAAGGGTTAGAATCAGTGAAATGCTCCCATTGCATCTCTTGGTCCTGCTGCGAATTCTAAACGCTGATTCAAAAGTTTGTGAAGCAGTGTGTCTTCATTCCTTCACTTTATTATTTGTGTACCACTTTCTGACAACTCCCCCCTCAAACTCAAAGCAGCCTACAACAAAGATACGGATGCATTTCAAACACTGCACCCCCCCCCCCGCAAATCATAGCATAGGAAAACAATAACATAGTAACAATTTCATAATACATAGCGAAACAAAATATAATAACATACCCCGAAACACATTCCTATACTATAAATATATAACAAGATTACTTAAACATTCAGCATTCATACAAAAATAACAAGGGAGTTTCACAGTTTCACCTTAGTCCTAGAAACTCCCCTCCCTTGATGTTGCTCACAGTCCCTCTCCTGCAGCAGCTTCTTTGAAGGCTTCCCAAGGGCAAAGGGTGACCCCTCCCTGTCTTCTGCAAGATAGGGACTTTGTGCAGCTTGGTGATGTTGGGAATACGTTTTACATGGAGTCTTCTCTCTAAATGCAATCTTTTCAGCTGTGGACATATCACTGCAAGGTTTCAGTCTGTCCTAAGAGCCAATTCACCCAACTCCATTCACTTATTAAGTAAATGGCAGTCATAGATCATTTGTTTTGCAGAAGGTTTCCTGTCTGACAGTTGAGTACTCCTCAAAGGCAAGCTTACCATTTGACAAATATCCTCTAAATAGATTATAGAAATCAGTTCCAATTCTGCTTTAAAATTGAGGGCGGTAGTATATCTGTTGCCTATTCATTCATAAATGCAGAATTTCTATCTTTGCAAATGTTAACTGCTCCTTTTTTAATTTCTGAATTAATATCCTTTATTACCATAACTGAAACAATACTTTAATTTCATTTTCAGTTAATGATTTTGAAAGAACAGAACAATCAGAAAAGAACTCAAGCTGATGGGATGCCTGATGTTAATCATGATCAGGAGAATGTACCTAGCACTAATGGGAAGGTAGGTGGAAACCTTGGTCTTGTAGGGCTTGTTCACTCATCATTTCTGGGGGAATAAATCTTAAACACAGTGTGGGTCTCAGGTGCACCTACACCATCATCTCATTCCGATGAGAAAGTAGTGAGTGAAAGCAGCTTTATAGAAACATCACTTAAATGTGTTGTCTCTGTCATCTCCTGATCAAACACTCCAAATCTTTTCAGGTAATGGGTTTGTGGTACAGAAAACACCATTTTTAAATAAACATGGTTTCAGTTTGATTTACTCATTGTTTCTTGAATCTCTGGCAATGAGACTAGAGACTCATCCTTTTGAATCTTTTCCTCCTAGGAAATAGTAAATGAGCAGACCTTAATCATGCCTGAATTATGACAGCTTTAACTTGAAAAATTATGGTAGTATGTAGTACATCATATTGTACTGGTCTTCTAAAAATAATAATTTTATTTCCAAATAGAGATCTTCCAATGGCTCTCTAAGTCATGATGAAGACCTTGCTAAAGTAATAGAACTTCAAGATGTCATAGAGATGCAAACTAAAGAGCAGGCTCAAATGAAAGAACGTATAACGGCCCTTTCTAACAGAGTAGCAGAACTGGAAGAAGATCTTGATACTGCTAGGAAAGATCTAATAAAATCTGAAGAAATGAACACAAAGTTGCAAAGAGATGTAAGAGAGGTAAGGAAATGTCAGTTTTTTGTTTGTGACTTAACGGAAGGATTGAGCAAACATGTTTTAATAAACTCTCAAGTGGAATTTTAAAACTTGTATTTGTAGTTGGCTGTATGAACTTCTGCTCAAAAATTCTCTATTTTTCTGGGTTTTACATGCAGTGTGAATCTTGATTTGGCAGCCATATAAATTAATGTTCTGATCCAGGGGAAATCCAAGTCTGTTTTTATTAACTTCTGCATAGGCTGGCACCTGATTAATATGATTACTGGTGGATCTTGAAAAGATGAGCACCTCCTGTTAAAAGGGCTAAAGTAACCACATCACATACTTTGGTATTGAGTATATACATAGACTAGGGATTCAAAGAACTATTTAGGCTTAAAGCTTACAATTACCCCTGTAAATCTTGACTGTTTTGCTTGGAACAACCTACAATTATTCCTTATCACAACTTCTTTTGAAGCACTCCTCATTTTCCAAAGCATATTATCATAGATTGGAAACTTTTGCAAATCTTGATCTTGAACTTGTTAAGATCAGTAAGAATTGGCAACTTGCATAGTGTCAAGACCTACAAAGTAAAAGAAAGGTGCAATTATTTCAAAGGATCTTTTGATCACTCTTATATTTCCATGCCTGATTTCTCAAGACAGTCTATTAAACACACTTAATGAAGAGAGACTATTTAACACTTAGGGACTATGTATTTCCTTAATCTCCTTACAATTTTTACAACTTAGGCAATGGCTCAAAAGGAAGATATGGAAGAGCGAATCACAACCCTTGAAAAACGCTACCTCGCTGCACAACGTGAAGCTACATCCGTGCATGACCTCAATGATAAACTTGAAAACGAAATTGCTAATAAAGATTCTCTGCACCGACAGGTAGAAACTGTTACTTATAATAATAAAGCAAAACTTTCAAGCTGTGATAGCTCCCCATAATCTGCTCAACATACTTGATATGAGAAATATGAAAGAGACAACTTTGCAGCAGTGCAGGGTAGAATGCTATGAATTCACAAAGAATTAAATAACTGGTTTTATGCAACAGTTGTGTGAGAACAAGGCCACTTGTGCAATTGAGCTTTCCCACCATCTACTCCCCCAAAAAACCGCTTCTGGGGTGGGGTTCCTCAGGGAAAAAAGGGTTGGAATATCACCTGGGGGACAGCAGCAGGAAGAAATAATCTAAGAAAATTTGCCAGCCTTGCACTTCAGTAAGTGACTTGCACAATAGGTAAAAATATTCAGTTTGCTGGTAATATAACTAGTTAGTCTATATGTTTTGTATATATCTAACTATAACCAGAAAAAACGGCTTGTATACTGTACAGATGGCCATGGGTAAACTCAACAGAGCATGATATTAGGAGCTTATTTTTTATTTTAAAATTTGTATCCTGTTGTTTACAGTAGCATTCCATCCTTTGTTATTTTTGTAGTGTACTGTATGTTGGAAATGAACTTCTGAATTTCCATTTGAAACGAGTATACCATGTTCATATGTTGCTCATGAAAATTATCTGCGTTTGTGAGCAGTGTTGTGTGCGAGACAACTTCCATGATCTTGGAAGCGAATAAAAAACTATTCCCTACAATTTCACACAATTTTCTCACAACATGACTGTTCAGTACCAATAAAAAGAGCTTTTGAAAGTAACATTTGGAAAAATATATGGAGCATTAGTTATAAGTAAATTGATGGTTTTCTTGCCTTGCTAGAGTGAAGATAAGAACAGGCAGTTACAGGAGCGACTGGAACTAGCTGAGCAAAAATTGCAGCAGACTCTCAGAAAAGCAGAGACTCTGCCAGAGGTGGAGGCTGAACTGGCTCAGAGAGTTGCAGCACTTACAAAGGTAGGGCTGTGATACTTTGTACTGTGAAAAACTGTGTTTTCAGTGGAAACAATTTGTTTTTAGTAATTTAGTTCTAATCCCACCCTTCACCCTCAGCTGGGTTAACAGAATAGCTTGACATAGTGCTTTATATTTATATGATTTCTTAGTTCTTTTTTTTTTTTTTTTTTTTTTAATATTTTATTAAGGATTTTCTTGTTTTACAGAAGTGTAGTGCCTCGTTTTTTGTTTGTTTTTTCCCTTTGACATTCTTACAAATCCATTTCATTTGTTGAGGCATTAGGGGGAGAAGAAAAAAGAAAGAGAGAAGAAAAGGGGGGTGGAGAGAGGGAAGATGGATGGGGGTGGGGTCGGGTGGCGGTGTTTCTATTATGTTTAATGTGTGTAGAGTTTGGTGTCAGCGTTATTTGTGTCGTTCACTTGTGTTCCTTTGGTGGTGAGAGAGGTTGGGGTTGGCCTAGGGTGTGATTGTTTGCTTGTGGTTGGCTGTGGTGATCTTTGTTTTCGTGTGTGAGTGAGGTGGGTGGGTGTTTTGGATCAGGTTAGCCATATTGATTTGTATGCTGCTGGTGGATTATTGTCATTGTCCTGTTGGGCTGTGTGTGTGATAAAGGGGAGCCATACCGGGGTGAAGGTGTCTTCTTCTGTTTGTCCCTGTGTCAGTTTCAGTTTATTAGTTAATTTTTCTAGTAGGGCTGTTTCCCATACTGTTTGGTACCATTGGTCCATGCTTACTCCTGACAGGTCTCTCCAGTGTCTGGTTATGGTATTTCTGGCTGCTGAGAGCAGGTGGGTTATGAGTTCTTTGTGGTGTAAATGGGCATTGTTGTCTTGGAAGATGTTTAGTAGGGCCAGTTCTGGGGTGATGTCTATTACTTGCTTAGTTATTGTACATATTTCTTGTATGGTTGTCATCCAGAATAGTTGGATTTTGGGACACTCCCACCACATGTGGAGGTATGTGCCTGTGGAGGTGCACCCTCTCCAGCATTTTGGTGAGGTTCCTGGGTGTATTAGCGCTAGTTTCCTTGGTGTTAGGTACCACCTGTAGGTGAGTTTCAGTGTGAGTTCTTTTCTTTTCGTTGATATGGATTTAAAGGGGGGTTTAGACCACATTCTGGTCCATTGAGTGGGGTTAATCTCATAGCCTATGTCATTCTCCCATTGTTTTTTGATTGCGTCTAGGGGATTTGCGGGATTTTGGAGTAGTATTTTGTATATTGCGGATACTGTCCCTTTACCGTTTCCCTTTGTTGTTAGGAGGAGGTTTTCGAAGGTTGTCAGGGGCCTAGTTGCTGCTGATTTTACTGTTGGGTTGTTTAAGAGGGCATGTAGTTGGTGTTGTGTTAACCAGGGCATTTGGGTGTCTTCTAGTTTGTCTTGTATTTCTTGTGTTGACAGGGGTTTGTTATTTTTATAAAAGTCTATTAGGCGATATAAGCCTTTGGCTCGCCAGGTTTTTATTTGGAGGTTTTGTGCTGCATGGTGGAATAATGGGTGGTACGCCAGGGGGATTAGTGGGGATGGGGTTGGGGATAGTTTGCCTATTTGTGTTTTCCATGCTTTGAGCATGGTCTGTGTGTACCTGTTAAGTGTTGTGGGAATTTTCTTTAGTTTGTTTGGGAGGAGTGGGTATGTTGTGGTGCAGGTGTTTTCAATTGTGTCCCTCTCTAGGTGTACCCATTGTTTTGTCTCATCTTCTAGTATATATGGGATTATATGGCGTATTTGGTTGGCAATGTAATATGCCTCTATGTTGGGGATTCCCCATCCTCCTTCTGAGGTGGGGAGGTGTAGGTATTTAGGGCTTATTCTTGGTTTTTTATGTGAGAAGATGAAAGAGTGTAGTTTTCTCTGCCAACTGCGAAGTTGGGTTGAGGGGATCCAGATTGGGAGGGTTTGGAATAGGTAGGTTAGTTTTGGGAGTGTGGTCATTTTGATCATGGCTATTTTGTCTGAGAGAGTGAAATTCATGTTATTCCATCTCTTTAGGTCTTTGTTAATTTGTTGCCACAGGGGCTTGTAGTTGTGGAGGTACAATTTATTGAGGTTTCTGGTTATTTGTACCCCTAGGTATCTGAACTTGGTGTGGCAAAGTTTTATTTTGGTGACCTTCGTGAGTTCTTTTTGGGTGTGAGGAGGGGTGTTGAAGCACATAGCTTCTGACTTTGTAAAATTTACCTGTAGGCCCGACACCATTGCAAATGTGTTGAGTTCTCTGATTAGGGAGGTTGCTGTGCTTATGGGGTCTGGTGTTGTGACCACTAGGTCATCTGCAAAGAGCCCTAATTTATAGGTTCTGCCTTTTATTTCCACTCCCTTGATGTCTGTGGCCGCTCGGATGCGGATTGCTAGGGGTTCAAGAGCCAGGATAAATAAGAAGGGAGACAGTGGGCATCCTTGTTTTGTGCCTCTTTGGATAGCTATAGTATTAGAATCCATATTGTTAGTTCTGCATTTTGCTGAGGCTTGGGAGTATATTTGTTTGAGGATCTGTAGGAAGTTGGGGCCAAATTTCATGTTGGTTAGTACTGCTAATATGTATTTCCACTCTAAGCAATCAAAGGCTTTGAGGATGTCTAGGGACATAATTGTCAATGGGAGTTTGGTTGCCTTGCTGTGTTCGATCAGGTTCAGTAGTTTCCTGATGGGGTCTGTTATATTGCGGCCAGGGACGAAGCCAGTCTGGTCTGGGGCTATTAACTTGTGTAGGAAGATTTTTAGGCGGTTGGCCAAGATTGATGTGAATATCTTGTAGTCTTGGTTTATTAATGAGATTGGGCGGTATGATTCTACTTTGAGGCTGTCTTTTAGTGGTTTTGGGATGGAGACTATTTTGGAGTGGGTCCAGGTTTTGGGGATGGGGCCCCCTTTTATGATGTCGTTGAATAGGCGGGTCATGTAGGGCATCAAGGGTTCTTTAAATTTCCTATAGAATTCTGCTGTGAAGCCGTCTGGGCCTGGGGCTTTATGTGGTTTCAGTTTTTTGAGGACTGCATCTATTTCCTCTGGGGTGATAGGGCTGTCCATGAATTCCCGCTCCTCATCAGTTAGGGTAGGCATGGTCAGTCCTGCTAGAAATTTTTTGATTTCCTTCTCTGGTGGGTTTCGGGAGGTGTATAGGTTGGAGTAAAATTCTGCAAATTCTGAGATTATTTCTTTGGGGGAGAATGTTATGTTGCCGTCTTTTTTGGTGATGCAGTGTATTCTTGTTTTGAGTGCTTTTTTCCTACATCTATTTGCTAGTAATCTGGAGTTTTTCCCTCCATATTCGTAGAAGCGTTGTTTAGAGTATAGAATGCTGATCATTGTTTTGTTAATTTCTAGGGAGTCTAGTTCTCTCCTTTTTTGTTCTATAAGTTTGAGGAGTTTTTTAGATCCTGTTTGTTTGTAGCGTGATGAGAGGGCTGTGATGTCTTGTTCTATTTTGCTAATTTTTGAGGAGGTTTGTTTTTTAAGGAATGTTTTCTCTTTTATGCAAGCTCCTCTGGTGACCGCTTTCATTGCGTCCCATAGGAGGGGGGTTGTTATATTGTTTACATCATTTTCCTTGAAGTAGTTTTGGAGGGTTTTTGTGAGACTCTCTCTAATTTGTTTGTTTGTAGTTAGGATGGGGCTGAAGGACCATGATGGGGTGGTTTGTGTTCCTTCTCCTATTTTAATGATGACTTCTACTGGGGCGTGATCTGTGATTTTAATGTTACCTATGTTTGTTGATTCCACTGAGGGAATCAGACCCTGTGTGAGTAGAATGCTGTCTAGTCTGGACACTGTATCATGGCGTCCCGATTGGAATGTATGGCTGATGTCTCCCGGGTTTTGCTCACCCCAAATGTCGTAGAGACCCCTGTTTTTTAGCATTTTTAGTAACTTGTAAGAGTTCCTAATTGTTGGGGGTTTCCTTCGGAGGAAGGTTGCCCATGGGGTTGTGGGGTGGATATCTTTCAGGGATATACCTTTCATATTTAGATTGAGGTCCCCTCCTAGGATTGCTTCCCCTTCAGAGAAGGAGAAGAATTTGTTTAGTGTCTTCTGGAAGAATTCTAGTTGTTTCATGTTTGGGGCATATATGGAGCCGATTGTCAGTTTGATTTTGCCATCAAGTGTCCCTTTAGCGAAAATGAATCTGCCTTTTTTGTCCTTGAGGACTGTTGTGGCAGTGAAGTTCAGGTCTCTACTGAGTATTATGGCTACACCGCGAGCTTTCCCTGAGCCTTGTGCGACCCACTGTTGACTGAAGCGGGGGTCGCTCAGGAGTTTGCTGCCTTTGGGTGGGTTGTGTATTTCTTGTAGGAAGGTGATGTGTGGTTTCATGGTGTTTATGTATGAGGTGATGCGTTTTCTTTTGATGGGGTTTCCCAGCCCCCTCACATTTAATGTGATTGCTTTTAGGTTAGCCATCTTGCTTATCTATTATGTGGGGCGATTCCCTGCCACCCGTTTGGGTTGTCTTGTGTCTCTCTCTTCGTGTTGTTTAAAGAACCAGTGAGGTTGCGCTGACCTAGGGTGTGGTGGGTGGGGGGCTAATGGGGTTAGAGTAAGATTTGGGTTAAAGAGTAGGGGGTAAGTTGTAGAGAGTTTCCTATATGTAGTCATATAGGTGTTTGTTTGGGGTATTTTAGACCATCTGGCATTTAGCCAGTTGGTCCTAGGTCTCAGCTGGTGTGGAAGGCCGTGTTCAAGGACAGGCCATCCCCCCTGTTGTTTGCGATAGGGGGTGATCAGCGAGACAGTGTGAAGTGACTTTGTAGTGTCGCTGTCAGGTATAAGGTTCATAAGCAATGTTGCCAGTGTTATAAGCAACATTGTTGGTGTGTTGGGGTGGGGATGTGGGTGTTGGTACGCTCTGGTGCCACCATAGTGCTGGTTGGGTATCAGATTTTAGCCTGATTGTGGGTTGTGTTATTAAGGTTGGAGGATTTGTTTTTCCCTAGTATGGAGTATGGGGGTGTTGAAGGTGTGGGTGATGGGGAATGTGGTTGAGGTCGTCTGGACTGGTGTTGGGGTGGGATTTCTGTGGGGGTGCGGGGTTGGGGGGGATGCTGATGGTGTTAACTAAATCTATGTTTGGGGGGGAGAGGGGAAAGGGGGGGGGAAATCACCAGTCCTTCAGTTTGTGGTTTTTCCTGGTTTCTTCATTCAGCTGCGGTTGTTGTTGTTGTAGGGTTGTCCATCTGCGATGAGTTGGTTTGGTTAATCTTGGTCTGGTTTCTTGTGTCGTATGGTCGGCGGGACGGTTCTGAGCATGATGCTTGCCTGTATTGGTTTGCGTTGTTGCGCCGCTTCTGTTGTATCTTTTTCTTCTGTACCGTTGTCCAGTTGTTTGCTGTTGTTTCCTCGTGGTTGGGGCTGTCACTTGGTGGGTTTGTCGGTTGCCATTCTGGTGGGAGGTCGAGTTCAAGGTTCTTTAGTAGTTGCAGGGCCTCAGGTATGTTGGTAGCCATGTGTTGTGTTGTGTTGGTTGTTACAATGAGGCGGAAGGGGAAGCCCCATCGGTATTTGATCCCTGCTTGTTGGAGACGCTGGGTGCATGGGCGCAGGCTTTTCCTCTGGTTTAGGGTATCCTGAGATAGGTCCTGTAAGGCCAGAATGGGGGTTTCTCCATATCGAAGGTTGCTTGAGTTTCTGAGTTGGTGCCATATCTCCTCCTTCTTTTTGTAGCGTGTGAAGCATACAATGATGTCTCTTGGGGGGCGCTGGGTTTTGGCATAGGTTTTAGGGCTCTGTGAGCCCTCTCCAAGTCATCTGCCTCAAGTTTCAGGCTTGGGATTGTGTTTTTCAGCCAGCGTATAATTAGGTCTGCTGGGCTTTTCTCCTCTGTTTTTTTCAGGAAAGTTGCGGAAGCGGATGTTACAAACGTCTGTTGCGGTCTTCAAGGTCCGCTTGCTTAATTTTCATCTCTCTGTGTTCTGCTTCCATTTGGTTTACCAGTTCGTCCAGTTTTCTTGTTCACACGTGCATTCTCCTCCCGGTATTGTTCTATTATTCTTTCTTGCATTTGGTTCTTGTTCTCTAGAGCTTCCACTTTGGAGGTTAGATTGTTGATTAGTACCTGCATGGGAGCCATTGTGGCCTTCAGTGTTTCTTCTAATCTTGCTTCCATTTCCCTCAGATCTCGTTTCGTTATTGGGTGGTCATCATCTTGAAGGGGAGTTACCATCTTAGCATTGTTTGCCATCTCCCTGGTTGGTGTCATCTCGGTCTCCCTGATGGTTTTGGTTTGAGGTTGGCTTGGCGTCCTCTTGGGGTTGGCGTGTGGTGGTTAGGAGTTGTGGCAGTGGTGATTCCTGGGTATTGTTGGGTTGCTGAGCTGATCAGGCTTTGTTGGCTGGTGGCTTTTACAGAGCGTTTGGGTTAGGGTGGTCATTTGTGTCACTTCTAGCCTGTGTTTTAAGAACTTCTCTAGGGCTTCTGTAGATGCCTCAGCGGTGCCGCCGAGGCGGGGGGGGGCAGGTAAGCAGAGATGGGTATACTAACGGACAGACAGTTCATATAAAGGGAGGGGGGTTAGCAGGTAGAGATGCAAGAGATTAGAGGGGTGGGGCCAGGGGAAATATGTGTTTAGGAGGGGGTTGTATATGCCCAAAAGGGGTATTGGGGTCCAGTTAAGGTGGAAGTTGGGGTTGGGAGTGCACTCAGAAACAGAGGCAGACAAATAGGGTATATGTAAAGGGTGGAGGGGGGAAAGGGAAGAAAAAGAAGAAAGAAAGAAAAAAGGGGGGAGGCGGGGGAGAGAGGAGATTGGAGTAAAAGAGAAGAGAGAGAGAGAGAGAGAGAGAGAGAGAGAGAGGAGAGAAAGTACAGTAATATCAGCGGTATTAGAATGCAGCAGTAGTTTTAGCTATAGTATGAGGGGGGCAAATTATGATAGGGTGATATGAATGTGTGTATGCGTTTCCTTTAGGGGAAGGGGGGGATGGAGAGAGGGAGGAGGGAGAGAAAAGGAGAGGAGGAAGGGGAAGGGTGGGAAAAGGAAGGAGGAGAAAAGAGAGGGGGAGAGGGTGAGCTGCTGCAATGGTATGGGGGGGGGAGAGTCTTATTTTAAAAGAGGGGGTGGGGGGGAAAGGGCTCCCTTCTCAAAAACAAACTGATGAACAGGCTAAAAAGGGGGGGTTGATTTTAAAAAATAAAAGGGATAGAAAACAAAATTGGGGATGGAAAATGAAAGGTGGAATAAAGGGGAAAAATGAGGAGGGTGAAGAGAGAGATGGGAGAGAAAAATAAAAAAGGGGGAAGTTGAGGGGGAGAGTATCAATAGCAATAGCAGTGATATGGAGGAAATTTTTGTTTTAAAAGAGAGTGGTGGTCGTAGCTGGGGGCGAAAGATTCCCCCTTCAAGAACAAACCAACAAGAGCTTTAAAAAGAGAAAGAGGGAAAGAAAAGAATAATAATTGTATGGTTTGGTTTTGTTTTTCCCCCCCAAATAATAATAATAATATTTCCCCCTAATTATTGTTATTATTTTTTGTTTGTAAAAAAGTAATTAAAAATGTACGGGTAAAAGATAAAAATGAGAATTAAAGGTAAAAAAGAAAAAAAAGAAAAAGGGGGTTGTCTTTAGATAGAGCTTTTTATTTTATTTTTTAAAAAAATGAGTAAAGTGTAGGTAAAAGAGGGTAGGTAAAAGAGGGTAGGTAAAAGAGAGTGGAAAGTCTGGGGCGAAGTGGCAGTCCCAGGAAATGGCCTGTGATGGTTCAGGGTTGTTTTCTGGGTACTGCCATTTTAAATCTTAAGAGGGGAGTTTGAGGTGGAAATAAAATGAGGTTTAAATTGAGGGTGTGTGTGTGGAAAAGTGTGTCTTTAAGTAGTGTGTAGAAAAGATAGAAATAAATATAAAGATTCAAATAAAGGGTGGCTGCAGCAGCAGTGGCCCCTCTTTTAAAAAGAAAAGTGGTAAAAGTAGGTATATGGGGGGGGGAGGGATAAGAAAGATATATAGATATATATATATATTCTTTTTAAAGGGGGGAGGAAGGGGTTAAAAAAAGGGGGAGTTAAAAAGAAAAGAAAGGGGGAAAAGGGTAGTTTTTTTTTCTCCTTTGTTATGCAGCTTCTCTGTGTTTTCCTTGCCGCTGGAGCTCCCGGTAGGGCTCAGCCACGTGCGTTTTTTTCCCTTTTCTTCCCCGAAGCCTTCACCGTGCTCACCTACCTCTCCTCTGCTTTCCTGTCGGCAGAGATGGGGGCAGCAACGGTAAATTTGGGGCTCCTTTTTCTTTCTTTCTTTTCTTCCTCTCTCTCCCTTTCTTTCTCCCTCTTTGCATTAGCTCCACTGTCCTCCTGGTTTTGGAGCTCCTCTCGGCTGTTGGGGGGGGGGTCGGGTGCCTTTCCGGCTCAATCAAGGTCGTGGGGGGGTGTTTTGGCTCCTTTGATAGATGCCCGGGCACCCCCAATTCCTCTCCGTTGGCGTGGCTGGCAGCAGCAGTCCTGGGGGGTCCGGGAATCGGTCGCCAGAGCCTTTTACTCTGGCTGGCTTCAGGAGCTCTTTTCTTCTACTGCTGCCGCCATGCTGCCTCGCCGGAAGTCCCCATGATTTCTTAGTTCTGTAACATAAAACAATTCATGTTTTTATAGTTTGGAGGTTGCTTGAGCAAATCTTGTGTCAGCTGTAGGTGTTGCATTATAAAGTCCTTCTGGATTTCCTGGTGGAGTAAACTATATCCGTAAGCAGTGTTATGCCCCAGTATTTACAAATGGATTATTGGCTGCCTTTTATAGTCTTCATGTTGTTGTTGTTGCTGTTGTTGCTGTTGTTGTTACCACCTTTCCTGTTCCTTATTGTCTTTTGTTACCCGACATTTGCCTCCTGGGAATTCTGCAGCTAAATTTGCTAAACAGTTGGAACATAATCCAAGCTAAGGAAGGCCAAATTTGTACAAGGGGTGCTAATCCTTATTTCTGCATGCATGGTTTTTAAAAAACCATTAAAATGAAAGGTAGTAGGGAAGAAACAGTGTTCAATGTATTTTATTCCATTGCAGTGTGTGAACAGAAATAGCAGTCTGCATAAATCACAAAATTCTCATTTGCTAATAGTTTTTCTGGATGAATTTTCAAATTTTAATTAGCAGTATGATTTATAATAGGCTGAAGAAAGACATGGTAACATTGAAGAACGATTGAGGCAGATGGAAGCCCAGCTAGAGGAGAAAAATCAGGAATTGCTAAGGGTATGTTAAAGCAGTGATGACTACCATCTCCCCTCACCCTACTTTCAAACTTGAAAAAAAAATCAGGTTAGCAATGCAAAGTGTAGGCTTGTATTCCTCATAAAGTGAATGAATGGGCAAGCTTTTATCTTAACTGGATACTTGAAGTACCTGCATGGGCCTTGGATGTTCAGTAGCACTGGTGGGTGAATTGGCTTCTTAGAACAATGTCAGCTCCTATAACTAAATTTTTAAATAACTAATTAGAGAACATGTTTAGTGAAAGTACCTCTTGTACAGCTGCTGTCAAAATTATCAGTGGCTAAAAGTTCTGGAAGCTATCATAATAAATATTCATCAGAATCACATTGCTATTTTTTTAGGGCAGGCTCAGGCTTGAATCTGGAAAAGCAAATATATATTATGCTATAAATTAGAGCATCATGAAAAATATGTATAGCACAATAACTTTGGGACCTTCACTATTTCTACAAATTAGAGACAGAAAAAAGAGTTGGCTTATGTGATTTTTGCTTTTGGATGTGTACAAATGCTCATAAACTCACTTTGTTTCTTATTATGCCCTTTTCCCGCACATCCCAAAATCTAGGCTCGACAAAGAGAGAAAATGAATGAAGAGCATAATAAACGTTTATCTGATACCGTTGATAAACTTTTGTCTGAATCTAATGAGAGACTTCAGCTTCACCTTAAAGAAAGAATGGCTGCCCTGGAAGATAAAGTAATTGTGAATGTTATGAATGTTGCTTGAAATGCAACAGCAGCTTCAGTTGTAGTTTACCAATTTATTGATGGATATTTAGCCTGCTGTTTATGGCAAGACAGAGAGCCAGCGAAAGAACTATATAAACCGTGGGGATGTCTAGTGCACAGCTGTGGTAGCACTGCTACTTTGTTATTGACAGAGAAACTTCTCCTAGGAATATACCTTTTGTGTTAAGTGTGTTAAAACAGTGGTGTGAGGTTCCTGCTCTGCAATCTGCTGCTCTTTTTACAGCTTTGGCTACTTGTAGATAGATGGCTCTTTAGATGGATGGATGGATAGATCTTTTGTTAAGCGTATTTTATTATACACCACCCTAGAACCAGGTGATAAAGAACTATATGTAGTTCTCTTATATTAATGTTTATCTTATTTAAGGAGAGTGTACAAGAGCTCATGTATCTTAAATTGAGCCAAAGAGGCAAACAAGTAGAGTTAAACAAGCAGGTGCTCACATCTATAACTTTTTGATAGTATTTAAAAACTTTAAAATGCTAAGTATAGCAAAGGGTCACATTCTAAAGTCCTAATGAACTTAATTTTGTTCCAGAATGCTCTTGTTCGTGAAGTTGAAAAAGCTAAGAAACACGTTGAAGAGCTTCAGAATGAAAAGGTATTTACTGAAAATGAAATGCATTACTTTATAGCATGGTTGTAAAGCAGTGAAACAAAATTAGGCATGAGAAAAAGAATAAATTACCACAACTGTTAAAAAAATGCCTGCTTCGAAGTTGATTGTACCACAGATCATGCTGCAACAGCCCAAGGATCACTAATGCCCGGAAAGCATACATCTGTAATGGAGTCATTTTTTGTTTAGACATTCCCAGAAACTTGCTGAGGTTTTTTCTCTTTACAGTAGGGGTGGCTAACTTCCATTTTGGGGCCTAATTACACCTCCCCCATGTAATTCTTTCTGCCCCCCGATCCCACTGATGTTGGTGGAAGTAGCAAAAAGAAAAAATGTAGTAGACGCAGTACTAACGTTGACATATGGCCCCTTCTACAGTCATCAGATTGATCATTTGACAGAAGAGGGGTCTATAACCCCCTTCAGATAATCTGCATGGATTATTTGAGGAGGGGGAGTTGTGCATGTGAGAGCCTGAGGTGGGTATACTTACCATTGGCATATGGTTCCCTGGAGGGTTGGCCCAAAGGTAAATGTGGCTCTTGAGCCAAAACTGGTTAGCCATCCCAGCTGTTGGGGTGCAGGGAGGAATAGACCTAGTCCCCTGTCCTTTGAAATATCATAGTTATTCAGAGCCATTCTAGAAATAATAAGTAAGTGAGGGACAGTTGACCAAAATGGTTTTTGAAAAAACTTTTCATTGAGATGGGCCTTGAACATTAGAAATTCAAAACAATACTAACCTTATGAACCAATGTATGTGATTTATGTTTTGAAAAGAAATATATAACGGTAAAATGAATTTATTACTTGCTTTTCTTTGTAGGATCAACTGGTACTAAACATTGAAGCAATGAGGTCTGAAAATGACCAGATGAGGATCAGAGGCCCTTCCCTTCATCATAGGTATAAGCAACAACACATATGCTTTTCTTCATTATAAAGTATTGCTAGATGAATGCCTGTGTCTAAATTACTGACATTTGAGAGAGTGTCTCTTATTAATGCAAAATATGGTATCTGCTCTGGTTTCAGTCGACCACATCTGGGTAGTGTGCCAGATTTCAGATATCCACTGGCACCTTCAGCCATAGCTGACAATCAAACAGATTCTTATAGCACCTCAGTGTTAAGACGTCCACAAAAAGGACGTTTGGCAGCTCTGCGAGATGAACCTTCAAAGGTATGAACTTTTTGTTAAAGCACTCTTATAATAGCATGTTTTAACACACAGTTTTTCATCTCAAAGCTATAAGAAGCCTATTGAAATTATATTTATATATACAAAATAAGGTCCATATTAAAACAAGTTTGAAGATGTTCTTGACTATCAAAGACTTGAGGGTGGATCAAAAGTACTACTTGCAAAATGTGACTTAAAACTCTGTGACTTTTTGATCCAGCGGAGGCTTTCATGAATGGAAGGGAAAGGGAGGGTGATTGATTGACAGGTTTCTTTTGCAATTTCCCCTTTCTTATGCAGCCCTCCCATGCTATTCTGGACAGTCCCCCCAAACCCCACCCTGGTGGGGCAGAGGGAAAGAGGAATAAGAAAATAAAATAAAATAGTCTCATTCTCCCTTGTTCACAGAAGCCTCTGCTGGGTCAAAGAACCGTCCATGAACAGAATAACAGGGTAGCGCAAACCAAAAAAGGGGTGTTACTATGAAAAGAAGCAAAAAGCATGCAGAAGGGAAAAAAGAAAATGATTTACCGTATTTTTCGCCCTATAGGACGCACTTTTCCCCCTCCAAAAATGAAGGGGAAATGTGTGTGCATCCAACGGGGCGAATGCAGGCTTCAGGAAGCTATCCGCACGCCTTGGGAGCCCGCAGGAGTTCCCGCCGGGCTCCCACAGCTTGCGGAGAGCTGCCTGCATCCCGAAGCCTGGGGCGCGCACCCCGGGCTTCGGGCAGCTCTCTGCAAGCCTGGGGAGACCGGCGCGACGTCGCGACGGGCTCCCTTGGCTTGCGGATAGCAGTCTGTTCTGGGGGCTGGGGTCGGGGGAAGCTCGGGCTTCCCCCGCCCCAGCCCCATGCCTGGGGGGGGAAATAATTTTTTTTCTTTCTCCCCCCCAAAAAAAACACTAGGTGCGCCCTATGGGGCGATGCGCCCTATGGGGCAAAAATTACGGTATTACTTATCTAATTTGGACCCCTCTGGACCAAGGAAACTCAGATATGTAGAAGTTCCATATGAAATTCCTTTATGAAGGAACAGAGTGGTCTGATCATTTTCTTTTTCCTACCAGCTAAAGCTGTGCACCTAGTTCCAAAAGCTGGATTTGAATTATTTGTGTGAAGTAATAAATAGATGGTATTGCTGCTTTGACACACTGAGTTAATTGTGGGAAGCTGGATTACTGAATTTTGGATGTCCTTCCCGCCCGCTGATTACTGTTAGGCAGCTAGAATGAGGTCATGACAAAAACAAAATTCTCATCTAAAAAACTGAAGTTTCCAAAGCTATTCAAGAAACTTAAGTAATGGAATTATCTTTTGTTTCACTTACATAATGTTGCATTTATGTACTATATCTTGATTTTTTATAATCTATCTTATTTGATAGAAATAATAATGACTATGAACATGATATTACAATTATTGTTTTGGTTTTATTGCATTCTTAATATTGCTGCCTTGGTGGATTACTGCAGCATGTAAGTTAAGTCTTAGTGATTTTATCTGTCTATCTTATCTATATGTTAACTGAGAGAAATTTGCAATTAAAACTCAGATCACATATATTAAACAGGTTCAGACTCTTAATGAGCAAGACTGGGAGCGTGCGCAACAAGCAAGTGTGTTGGCAAATGTTGCACAAGCCTTTGAGAGCGATGTTGATATCTCAGACGGTGAGGATGACAGAGAAACAATATTCAGCTCAGTTGACATCTTGTCACCTAGTGGTCAGGCAGATGCCCAGACTTTAGCCATGATGCTTCAGGAACAGTTGGATGCCATCAATAATGAAATTAGGTACAGTATACATTTGTATCATTAACTTAAATTTCCACTATTTGGTGTGAGAATGTATTCTTCCTGTACGTCTAGTTTGTTTACTCTCATTTCTTTTAGTTCACAGAAGTTATAGCAATAGGTGTGTTTAATTTACCCAGTGCTCTTCATTTGTATGGATATAGATATGATTTTTCTACATTGTCAGTTTGCCAGAGTTCTTGAAAAATTAACTCAATGTGATTATTTCTAACTGCTGTGGTAGTAGCATGGCTTCTCCAAACAGCATGAATCTTTACTTTTTCTTAATGAAGGACCATGTCTGTGAACACAGAGCAGAAATTTAAGATCTGCTGTATTTGGTTATTTTGTGAGTGTTGAATCATTTGCCTTAAATAAAAGTAGCAAATTATTTTTTATGAAAAAGAGCTTTAAGTAAATTTAATGTCCCTACCTAGCTTTAATAGTAGCTGCCACTCTTGAAGAATCCCCCCCCCCCAGGGATATATATGCAGAGAACAGTGTAGGAGTTAGTACAGAGGCTGCAGGCTGGGAGCAAAATGCAAAAATAGCCTCACTATCTTATTTCCTCACAGAAGTCTCTGTTAGATCAAATACTGCACATATCCATGAAGGGACAGTGTTGGATGCAGTCCCAAATGAGTACCTCTTCAGTAGAATTCCAATAGTAATACTGTACCTTTCATGAGGACTTGTAAAGAAGTACAGTGGAACCTTTGTTCTCAAACTTAATGATTTCCGGAAGTCTATTCGACTCCTGCAACCGTTCGAAATCCAAGGCGCGTCTTCCGATTGGCTGCAGGAGCTTCCTGCACTCAAGCGGAAGCTGCGTCGGACATTCGGCTTCCAAAAACCGTTTGAAAACCGGAACACTTCCAGGTTATCACCGTTTGGGAGCTGATTTGTTTGTCAACTAAGCCGTTCAAGAACCTTAAACTGTACCCTTAAACAGCTTATCATAACTTGAGTTATTGATGAAAATAGCAAAAGTTAATTGATGGCAGTGAAGCTTTGATAACATTGGATAAAATGTGCGTCTTTTGTGGCAGATACATTGCATAAAGGAATTGTATTCTTTCTTTCTTTTTAGACTGATACAAGAAGAAAAGGAAAACACGGAGCAGCGAGCAGAGGAAATTGAAAGCCGTGTTGGTAGTGGGAGTTTAGAGAATCTTGGCCGATTTCGGTCTTTGAGCTCTCTTCCTCCTCCTCCCTTTCCTGGTGGCTCCCTTTCCGGCTCCTCTCCACCTGGCAGTGGTCGTTCCACCCCGCGACGAATGCCACATAGTCCTGCTCGAGAAGTGGACAGACTAGGCATCATGACACTAGTAAGTGTCTCTGTTTTCCTCCCACACACCCCAGGGGGGAATCCCTATGATTAGCTCTTGTGTTGTTCCCCATTTTTCTGTGTGTCTTGTATTCATGTGTTTGCATACTGGTCTCCTTTATCAGGAATTTCAGACTGTTTGCATGTAGCATGCAGACACCTAACCCACCCATCAGAAGTTGTCTAGTGTATGTTAAAATTTGACACCTCCCCCCCCACGCACACTTAATTTGGAACGGAATGTTGGAAACTTACCATGAATGTTAAACATGAGTTGAGTCCCTGGGAGGTGTCCAAGGCTACATCCTTCTAGGTAGAGATAAAAGATACAGGTAAAGGACCTCTGGACAGTTAAGTCCAGCCAAAGATGACTGTAGAGTGCGGCGCTCATCGAAGGAGCTGGCGTTTGTCCACAGACAGCGTGGCCATGACTAAACTGCTTCTGGTGCAGTGGAACACGATGAAGAGTGCCAGAGTGCCCAGAAATGCCATTTACTTGCACTGGTGTGCTTTCAAACTGCTAGGCTGGCAGGTGCTGGGTCAGAGCAATGGGCGCTCACCTCATTGCACGGAGTCAAACTGCCAACCTTCCGATCAGCAAGCCCAAGAGGCTCAGTGGTTTAGACCACAGCGCCACCCACTCTAGGTATAGAGTTGCAACTAATCACATTTACACTGCACTCCAATATTACCTGGCTTTTCCATCTCTCTTGGCTTCCTTCCAAGGCCTCTAGTCCAGGGCCTTGGGTACTCTTTTTGTTCTTGCTTGTGCTGTTCCTTTTCCTCGTTTCTACAATGCATTTTGCTCAGCTTTGACATGAAGTGTTCAGCAGGGGGAGGGGATTGTGATTCCCATTTCCTACCTTTCAAGCAGGAGAAACGAGAATTTACTTGGTCGTCTCCAAGGGACTCAGCTCAAAACCAATGTTTATGGAAGGTTTCTGACATTTTGGTCCATGGTAGAAGAAGCAGAAAGAGCACTCTACTTCTGTCCTTTATTTTTGTGGCTTTTAGAAAATTAGTTAAAAGTAATCCCTCATGTAAAAAAAAAGTCATTTATAGCAATGCTTAACTAGCGTTAAGAATCCAATTTTTAAAACTTACGTGTGATACTGCAGCAACAATACATGAAGGTAATTTACACTCCAGAGTGATCCCTTACTTATGGTTAAGGTATTCCACCCATTATGTCTGCATCAATCTTAAATGCTGCTTTCCAGGGTTATGCTTAAATATTTTCAGTATAGAGAAGTGGTCTGTTTGAGCAATGGTTTCATGAATAGAGCATATGGCTTGTCTTCTCCCGGAGAATGTTTTATAACTGCGAAAATCGTCCCATGTGTTCATGCTTTCTAGTTTGAATAATCAAAATACCTGCTTTATCTTAATTTCTCTTCTTTGCATGCTTCTGTCAGCCTAGTGATTTAAGGAAACATCATAGAAAGGTAAATCTTCAGCCATTGTTCTCTGTGGAATCTTGAACAATAAAGTCTAGTATAATTAAACTATTTTAAAAATGTAAATGGTTTTTCATCAGCATGACCAGAACAAAGGGTTCTCCATGCATACCTCCACTGCTCTCTTGCTTGCCAGCTGTGCTCATCTCCCTATACTATTTCTGTGGTAACACTTTGCTATTAAGGGAAGGTGTGGGACAACTAAGGATATATGCAGTCTACACACCTGCCATTTAGAATGTCTTCTCTTCCAGTTGAAGAGCTATGTTTGCATTGTGCATAGTACGTATTTCCCCGTGTATTTTCTCCATGGCTGATTAATCCCCTTACAATCCCTGCAGCGGTAGAGCAGATATTAGAACAGGTAGAAGTTCAGTCCTATTCTTCACTTCATGTTTCTACCAAAGCAAAGTGGGAAGGAACCTGAGCCATGCCAGAAAATAGTACATGCATACCATCAGGACTTGGAACAGATGCTCAAAGCATGTCCATGAATTCTGGGCATTGACTTCAGAATTAGTCTCGGATTCCACCAAAGTCTTATTTCAAATGTGTTATAACTGCAAGAAATATGAGTTCTGTGTAAACTGGCAGACCCTAGATATACACGAACTTGGTTTGGTTAGAACAAAATATTGTATCATTGCATACATTTTTCTTTGTTGAAACAAAATGCATATAGATGTAGCAGCTGTTGAAATTATAAAATCTATAATACCTAAGAATCTTTACTGTGAGTACTCTGCCTCTTAGAGATGAAGTAATACTTAAATTGTGTTTGTTTGCAGTCTCCAGTTTCAAGAGAAGAAGTTAGAGATGACAAGGCTACAATAAAATGTGAGACCTCGCCACCCTCTTCACCTCGATCTCTGCATTTAGATAGAACCTATAAGGGTGCCTTGCATACAGTGAGCCATGAAGATTTAAGAGATCTAAGAAAGTAAGTTATGTTTAAATATAATATAGCTAAACTGAAGACTGTCATCCTATGTTTTGTTGCGTAACATAAAATCAGTATATGATATTGGCTTTTTGGAGTCCTTGGATGCAAACTCCTAGCTTCAGGATTTCTCATTGATTCCCAACAGCTCATACTGTGTGTTTCCTCAACTTCCCCTTTCTCCTCCTCGGCTCCCTTTCTCCTCAGACTTCTACTTCCATTGTTTGCTATTTAGTTAGTTATTTACAGAATTTTATACCAGCTATTACTGTTTTTGGGTAGTGTACAATTGAAACAGAACAATACAGAAAATAGAATACAAACAGAAAATCCCAAAGACACTTTCACAGAAATACTTGTGTGGACAGACTAATTTCCTTAGCACTGTGTTCAATATAACCCAAAATGTGTATAGTGCATATTTTTATAGACTTAACTGTATCTGCTCTACAGTTCCACAGGTTCTCAAGATGGACAAGTAAGCAATCCCAGCAGCAGTAATAGTAGCCAAGATTCCCTTCACAAAGCCCCTAAAAAGAAGGGGATAAAATCCTCAATTGGGCGCCTATTTGGTAAGAAAGAAAAGGGTCGACCTGGACAGATCAGCAAAGAAAGCGGAGGACAAGGTTGGTGCATTATTGTACCTAGAACAGAAGGCACAGCAATTCTTAGGCTAATCGTTGTATAGGGTATAAGGTAAAGAAGTCCTAGCTGTGTGGTATGCAGATTACACCTACCTATGCTAGTATAGGCATAAGTGGAAGTTGGCTTCCTTGGGTATGCAGATGACTGTCTCAGCAGAAGTCCAAAATGCAAGGTATTAGATCTGAGGCAGATGGCTGTGATTCTTCCAGAACTGACCTTAGTAAGCATTTTATATTTATTTGATTGCTGTTCAAAATACTACTTGTGCTGCTTATCGCGTAAGCACCATTGTCTTGCACCTCACTGCCATGAGACCCCAAAGCAGTGACCAAGCAGTCCCTGGCCTTTGCCTACCCATCTGGGTCAGTTCACAGCATCCACCACTGAGTATGTTAAGGAGACTAGGGGTGGGCTCTTAAGTGGATGGATGGATTTATTTAGAAGTATTTCCAAGTGGTGTATGAGTAGTATAAATCGACATACATCTTAAAGATGTAGAAAAGCAGATAGATTTAAAAATCCAATGATACAGGGTCCAATTTTACATATCAAGGAAAGTCCTTTTGTTCTATTGTTACGTGGCTTTGAAATCATCAGATAAAGCAGCTGCAGGAAATTGATAGCAACAGGAATTATAGGTGTATCAGTTTCTACTACAATCATAATATTTTATTTATTACTACTGTGTTTATATCCCACCTTTTCTCTAAGGAGCTCAATTTTATATTGATGTTCACTGTTCATTGTCTCTTGGTAAACAAAGGTTTGCTGGCTTTTGAACTATACAGTTGGAACCTGAGAGTCACTTCCATAAAGGAAAGAGTTCTTTTTGCTCATGGGACCAGCTGTGATCCACTGGAAGTTCCCTGCTGGAGAAAGGGTCCCCATCCACTAATTCCCTCTTCATCCCTCATCACTGCCTCTTATTCTGCTCTGGAGAGCCCTCCAGTTCTCCAGAGCAAATTTTCAGGGGGAAGGACAAATGGGCAAAAATTGCCTGCCTCCCTCTGTCTCTTCTAACGTAAATGTAACTGCTGTGTTTTAATTCTGGACCCTGTTCAATGTATATATAACATTTTACACTGTTGTACTGCAAACAAACTTGTATGTTGGAAATAAACACAAATGACATTCATTACTGTAATTCTGCTGCGTGCTAAAGTTAATTCCAAGAAGTACATGACAGGTTTTTTTCATTCTTGCAGTTAGTGTAATGGAAGCAGACAGTTCAACTCAGGATGGCTTGGGACTTGGAAAATTGGGAGGACAAGCAGAAAAAAATAGAAAATTGCAAAAAAAGTAAGTTTTAACTTCTCCTCAGTTCTGATATCTAAACAGTGAATGTTCTGCAAACTGTTTCTTCAAGATAGAATTGAATGTTCCTGTTACCAAAAATCTCAAGAAATCAAGAAAATGGATATAAAACTATGACAAAAAATCTGGTTTATCTTAAGAAATGTCTGCTGTTTTCCTTTAAATTATGGAGCTTTACTGAACCTTTAGGAATAGCTAGAGTGAAAGATGGCTATACTGGATTGTATCCAGTGCTGCTGTTGAGCTCAAAAAACAGAGTTCCACTTGCACAACTTACCCCTTCTCTCTCCTGCAGCCGTCACTTGCAAATCTACTCCAGGGTGTTGGGGGATCCTCTGGAGTAGATTTTAGGGGCCCATAGGAGGGGAAGGGGAAAGTCCCAAATACCCATGTCTGTATGCAGTTTTTCCATAGCATCATGATTTGCAGCTTTGAATTGAGAACTTAGTCAGCATGCATGGTCAGCATGCATGGCTGCACTTGAAGAAGACTTGGAAATTTCAGCAGGGCTAGATTGCAGAGGCCTGAAGGTTACATACAGGATTAAATTACACCAGTTCTGCAAGAGTTCTGCTAACTTTCTGCATTTCTTGGTGAGATTCAAGGTTCCTTTATGCTGTTGTCTTTTTAAAATACTATTTCCTGTTCATTTTATCACTCTTATTATATGATGCATTGGGAACTGAGAAACCGCTGTAAGTTGAAATAATAATATAAATAAATAATCTTTGCTGGTACAGCGAGTCTCAGGACCTGAGTGAATAACATGGGTACAGAGTGGGACAGGGGAAAGGTTGTTAGAGGAAATTCATTTTGTGTTATCCTGTAAGTAGAAAAATAAATGCATTACTTGTCTTGTCAGTCAGTGTTCTGTCTATCTTTTATTCACCCATAATGCATCACCATACACTATCATATTCACTTTTATCTAAATTAAGTACTTTTCAAGTTTTAGTTTTACATTTTATTTTCTTTATTTCCTTTTAAATTTTCCATTTGGTGTGGTAGTGCAAAATCAGGGTAAGTTGATTTTAATTTAACTTTTGCAGAATGTGAATGTGTGATGTATTGGGAAACTCTTGTTTAAAAGATTTGTGTTAAACATCAGCCATTACCTTTTTGAATTATTTTCCTTGCAAGATGAATATTAAAGAATATTCTGCTGAAACATTTTCAGCAAAATCCTGTTAGCATTTCATGAATTAGGAATAATACATGAATCCTCCCATAACTTGTCAGTGTGCTGTCAAACAAAAATTCTTGACATAAATTCTTTAGTCCTAGCATTTGATTTTAAACTGTTTGAGTTGATTTTTTTTAAAAAAAATTGTATTGCAGAACTGTACTTTTGTAGTGGGTGTTGTTGTCAACCGAAGAAGAGTGAATCTGTTAGGCCAAGTTCCTCAGCTCATCTACCATTATACTCCCTAGCATTTTCACATGCAGTTTCTCCCTTCACTGTGTCTAATGTGTATTTAGAAAATGAGCATATGTTTTAGATTAGAGAACATGCACTCATAGTCATATAATAAAATAAGGTAGAAAATAGTTTCGGCCCTCTTCGGCTTTTGTTTTCGAATTTTAAGGGATGGTACTTCTCAAATTGTGTTAGGAACCCTTAGAATCCTCAATGTCATAAGAGTTCTTAAGGGAAAAGATCACTAATAGACTTTCCCAAAAGATAGCCTTCCCCACACTGCTTAAAAAAGCAGAACCCCAAAAGAGTGTTGCATGCATTTACTTAATATACTTGTCAGTGGTTCTTTGTAACAGTAAATACAGGTTCTGAAACCCCTTCATATTGAGGCTGCCCAAACCTTTCCTGTAGAAACTATTCCCCCCTAGGTAGTGCTTGTCTAGTGTACCTGCACATGATAACTAATTTAGACCAGGAGCTTCAGCAGTGTAATGGATTCTGCTTTCCAAAGGTCTGGTGTGATCCATTATTCTAATGTTACTTTTCTACTTATCTCATGCAGTGTGCTTGCCATGCTGCTGTCGCTCTTGGACAATTTGCTGTGTTCATAGAGTTGCTGAAACCAAGGGGGAAATCGCTGGAGGACAATCAGTGAAAATATAAGCACTTCACAAGTATATTTTGCTGTTTTTTAAAGGCATGAACTGCTTGAGGAAGCCCGGAGGCAAGGTTTACCCTTTGCTCAGTGGGATGGGCCAACTGTGGTTGTCTGGTTAGAGGTAAGGAGTCATTACAATAATAAACTCAGTGCAGCATGGCTTCTAACTTGAAATTGTAGGTGATTCTCTTCCTGTTTTTCTCCTTTCCAGTTGTGGGTTGGGATGCCAGCCTGGTACGTAGCTGCTTGCCGTGCAAATGTGAAAAGTGGTGCTATAATGTCAGCCTTATCTGATACTGAAATACAACGTGAAATTGGAATCAGTAACCCTCTACATAGGTTAAAGCTGAGACTTGCCATTCAAGAGATTATGTCACTAACAAGTCCATCTGCTCCTCCTACATCAAGAACGGTAAGTTGGAAAGCAGTGATGTCTCTTAACTAAAGAGAAGCTAGCATATCTTTTAGAATTCTGCTTTTTGTGGAGGTCTGCATTAAAAAAGACAAAATAAAAATAAAGTTAGGGATAGTTCTTAGAAAATGACAAAATGAAGTGACCTGTTGAAACAAGTTTGCAAAAAGTTATGGTTAGTAACTGTGCTAAAAAAGTAATGACTGCAGGAAGAATGTCAGTTTTAGGCAGGTTCTTGGGATCATTTATGGCATGCTAAGATTTAAAGGCATGTTTGAAATGTTAGGCAATACTAATATTTTTAACTAGATGTTTGTTACTGTAAGCAGGGGTCCACGATTTTGCTCACCATGATGAGTATCCTATGTCCTTTTCTTGAGCATGACAAGCCTCCAGCCTCCCAAATTTGGAGCTGGAGAATGGGGCAAGTATCATCCACACAGTGCTGCTCCTTTTCTAAGGCTTTCCAAGCACTTTGGAAGCACAGCAGCAAAGCAACCCCCAACCCTCATCTCAGTTTAGAATATTTTGGAGCAGAGGTCCTTTTGTGTTTCTGGCTCAGGAGAAGAGGTGTGGGGCTTGATTTTACCGTGTTCTTCCAGGACACTTGGAGTACCTTGTATAACACAACACAGTTTCTGGGACTCAAAAGGGAGGAGGGGATTGCTTTGAAAGGCATCTGACTTAGATTGGGGATAAAACCTGTCCTGGAGGAAAGGCAGAGTCCTGACAAGTCAAACCTTTGGTTGGCTACCAAGGCCAGCCAAAATTTGTGAACCCAGTATTTAAAGATACAGTACCACCCTATTTCAGGCATGTTACATGAAAGCAATCCCCTTTTAAAAGTGGAACTAAAGAAAGTTGTACCTGTGTTGTATTCTTGTTTGGGGTGGGGGCACATGTTGAAGGCAGCTTGTTTTGCCTGCCACAATTGAATCACATTTCATTATTTATATCTGGGGTGCAGAATGTCAGCCAGTTCAGTGGGGCCTTGATAAATACTGTGCTGTGGATGTGCATACAGATGCAAATCTGCATCCATATAGGCTACATATGCACATCTCATTGTGGAGCTGGAGTGAGAGTGATGGTGACTGCGTCTTGTGAATATCTGCTGTGTTTGTAGAGTGATTTGAAAGAAAACTGACTGACAAAGAATAAGCAGGATCCATTTCATGTTAGGATCCAGAGTTCCTGTGCTCATGGAACAATTATTGCCACATATGCTCTTGGCTTATCATAAATATATGTTATGTATATTTATGTATTATATTATGTATAAACTTAATCTTATTGCATTCTATATAATTTGGTCTCAAAAGCAACCTGCCTAAACTGAGGTGGTTCACATATAATGCCAGTCATGATTTGGTGTTACATGACTGATCTTCAAACTCTGGTTTGCAATCCTGATTTGGAGCAAAGGCAAGCCATAGTTTTTCGGATGTAACAAAAATCTATGGTTTTACCACAAACCTGTAAGTGCTTTGGAGTGTGCAAGGGGAGGCATAAGTACACAAACACAGCTTGTTCAAGTACTGCCAACCATGATTTGGCATTGCATGTGAATTGGCACAAGGGGATACAGTAAGTTTCTTCAGAAGGATAGATGTACTCTAAGGAACTAAAATGAAGTATCCCAAAGTAGTACTTGGCACTGCTAAGTGTAAGGAGTACACCTAGAAGTCATATTATGAGGAATTATACTTTTTCTAATTTTGCTTAAATACAGGGTATACATTAAGTTATTATTTGAAGGGAAATGTTTGCCTGCAGGCTTGCATCTTACATCAGTCTGTACTTAACAATCTAGAAACCATTGCTTTTGCCCATGCCTGCTCCTTATATGTACCTGTTGCTTACATATTCTGCAACCTTTCCTCTTTGTTACTGCTTTCCTTTCATTGGATGTGATTGGTTCACTTTGGGGTCATATTAGACCACAGGAAATGTCTGGGTAACACATGAAGAAATGGAAAATCTTACATCTACACCACAAACGGTTAGTTATAGCACTGAACCTTTTTGTGTTTACAGTGCTTTTCCCACTTCTTGAGTGCTTGAATCATGTGCCTCTTAATGTCTCTGAAAAGAGTAGAAATATTAATTCTTCTTGGTTATGGCCTATTTTAATTACTAACCTTCTCTGAAATGTATAATTATGCTGTAAAATGTTTTTCCACCAAGGTCATCATGGGGTTGGGAGAAATTATGTGCATTGAAGGCAAAATCAGTGCATTGATTTTGGAATTCTTAAGATGTTGCCTAATATTTTACTTGGGTTTACAGCTAAAGGCTGCTTCTTGTGTGGATAAACTAAGCAGCATGTGGTGTTTCAATTTACACAAGGGTATAAATATATCGAGAAATTCTTATGTACATAACTTTGAATGCATGATGCTTGCATTCCTAACAATTAGCATGCCATTATTTTGCCTTTCCATTATGGCCACATTCCAGAGGTGTCATTTTATGCGCAGAAAGGACTATACACACTATTCATTGCTAGGATATATACTAAATGTGACATAATTTTATTATGTATTTTGTGGTTTTATATCTTGATTTTATTCTGTAAACTACCCTGAGACCCCCAGGTATAGGGTGGTATATAAATTCAATCAATCAATCAATAATAATAATAATAATTAATAATAATTTCAACAGCCATAATACTTGTTTTGAGAAGTTTATTGACGCCAAGCCTTCTACAGGTTTGCACAGTTCAGCCATTTGATTATTTTTTGCACACTGGACTGTGGCCATCACCTTGAATTTTCTTGCATTACTAAACTTACAAATACTAACATTTGTGTGTTCTTTTGCTTTTCTAATTACGTAACATCAGGAAGATGTGGAAGGAAGCTGGGCTCAGGTTGGAGACTTTTCTTTTAAACCTTCTGTTTAAAACATCAAAGTTTATTTAACCATAGAAAACTTATTTTTTAAAAAAATTAAATACATTGAAAAACATTTTTGAGGGGAAATTAATGAGTAAATATTTCAAATGCTAACTTGCCCAAAATTTATTTTGAGAAATTATTTGGCATGGAGGTTGGCATTATATTACCTACTTTTGAGGCTTGTTCTCCTGGAGTTCATCACCGGGTTGTGATAGCACAGCAACAAAATGTGTGCCTTTTGCTGATTTTTGTTTCTGTCACAACGCATTCAGATTCAACTAAAATCTGTTTAAATAAGTTAATAACATCTTTCTAACAGCAGCCACTTCCCACTTTGCGTAGCTGGCCAATGCCAGTGATTCACATTGTAAACACGTGAAGGGATGGTTTCACATGACATGGTAAGCCAAAATACGACTTCAGTGAGGCTGTGCAAACATGCAGGCGAGCTCCGAGCTCATTTGCCCCTCCATACTCATTTTTACAACTGCACCATGCTGACTAAGCTAAAGTTTGGCTTTAGTGTATCATCCAAACCAGGAATCATGGTTAAGCCATCCTCTCACTAACTATGAGCTGTAGCCAAGAGCAAACTTCTCTATAGCTTGTGGTTAGTCAGGAGAGTACTTAGTTTTGCTCAGTTCAAGGCATCAAAATGAAAGTCCAGAGGAGAGGAAAACAGCTCCTCTCCAAGAGCAGGTTCTCACAGTCTTACTAAGTCATTGTTTGCCGTACCCAGTTGTGCAAAGCAGGTCAAAGTTTGAAATGGGGAATTGAAATGTACCAGGAAGCTGCAGCCCTGGCACTATCAGAGAGTTTGACGATGTGCATCTTCAAATCATTCTTCACTGTTCACCTAAGTAAATGCTAGTTGCTGTATAAATAAAGTGTGAAGTGGTTTTAATTTTTAAAACATTGCTTTGCATCTTCAGTAGTTACAACCTCTTTCTTGTGTGAAACTGTAAGGCACTGACTAAATATTTTACACCTTCTTATTTAAAATTACACTTCAATGGTTTTCTTTAAATAGACCTTAGCCTATGGTGATATGAACCACGAGTGGATTGGCAACGAGTGGCTTCCCAGTTTGGGGCTCCCTCAGTATCGCAGCTACTTTATGGAATGTCTTGTTGATGCTAGAATGCTGGACCATTTAACTAAAAAAGATCTCCGTGGTCAACTTAAAATGGTTGACAGTTTTCACAGGTAAATAGATTTAAAATAGTCTTTACTAACGAGCATTTGGTCTGTGCATTTCAACGTACTTTCCTAATGCCTATTTCTTTTTTAACCCTTTAACAGAAATAGTTTCCAGTGTGGCATTATGTGCCTGCGGAGATTAAATTATGACCGAAAAGAACTTGAAAGAAGAAGAGAAGAAGGTTTAAATGAGATTAAAGGTAGCCATTTTCTTTCCTGGATTGACTCTACTTAAGAGAAGTATATAAAATCATGACCCTATATTTTCTTTTGGTTGAAAAATCTCCAAAGTTGCAAGTATGTTCAATGGTAGATTCATGCCAGTGTTATATTTTGTATAGAGCTGGTGTTTATGGGGTCTAGCATAGTGTTGTTCAGTCCTGTGTTCAGAACGTTTTGACTGCATACTGGAGCCACTAAATCTATGGTGTGCTATCTAAAATATCCTTGAACTGTAAACAAGTACCTATATTTCTTTTCCTTCCTAAACAATTATATGTAAAACTACTGGCCCTATTCATTTGTGAAAGAAGGAAGAATCTGTGCAGTAAAAAACTAGTGCTGTTCTGATCTCACCCTTGTGGTGCAATTTAACAGGGTAAGATACAGGTATTCTAAACAGTACTTACTCTCGTAGTTGCACGAATACAGTAGTTAATAATAATAATAAAAATAAACAATTTGCCCCAGCTATTCTGAGTGGCTTCCAACAAATTAAAACCCAATACAACATCTAACTTGAGTGGAAATATTTAACTAAAGGGAGTGGGTGAAATTAATATAATAAAAGCGCATTTGCAATTCCAGTGAGAGAGAAATGCTAGGCATCAAAAGAGACTGGAATAGCTGCACAAGGAGCTTTGAGGTCAGATTTCGAATGCTATGGATGTTTTTGTTTCTTTAAAGGATACATAAAGTTTGCTAAAATTGTGTTTTAGAGACTACTGTGATTAAACAGTATTCAAATTCTTAAAGCAAACAAATGCAAACTAATTAATGTTTAGAAATATTTGCCTTGCAGTTTTTCAATATTAAGAGTTTTATCCAGCACGCAAGAGCAAAGACAGTAGATTTCAGTTCACACAACAAACAGAGCTCCTGCAATGATATTTGGTCTTCCTTTCCTTCCCTACTGCTACCTATGTGCCTTCAAGATCTATTCCAGAGTGCTGGGGAATGCTCTGGAACAATTTTGGGGAGATTACAGGGGCGAGGGGAGAAAGGTTTACATCAGTTGCCTTGTGCAATGTTAGATTCCACCCAGTGTCTACAGTGTTGAAGGAATATTTCATAACCATTATATGCCAGTATCAGACATTTAGCTGCTTCATAACTTCCGTATTTACAGTCCCATCTGTATTTGGTGCAGAACAATACAAACCGTTGACAATGTATAAAACACTTCATTTGATACTAATTTTAATCAAGTGGCAATGCAGTCCCAACATTTATTTCTAAGCTTCAGTAGTATGCAGTACAGGAACCACACCTGAAATAAATTGTATTTTATATATATTGTCAACTTTTTAGTGACTCATAACTTTACTTTCCCCCCTACAGATGTCCTTGTCTGGAGCAATGACAGAATGATTCACTGGGTGGTGTCGATTGGTCTCAAAGAATATGCAAATAACCTTATAGAAAGTGGAGTTCATGGCGCACTTGTGGCCTTAGATGAAACTTTTGATTACAATGCATTAGCTCTTTCTCTACAAATTCCCACTCAAAATACGCAGGTAATAATGAAGAAATAATTTGATGGGGATGATTCTTATTCATCAGAATATAGCACTGAATAAGAATTTGTAGTGTGTGGCCTATTTTAACCCTGAAATACTGTATTGGTGTCAAAGAGCATAATGAATCTGTGGGATTGGGATTTAACGTTTTTTAAGGCAGAAGTATATTTTGACTCTTGGTGCCAGATATTCAATATCTTATACATATAGATTTTACAACTGTAACCCAAAAGTTTGAAATAAGTTTTGCTAATTTTTGTTCACTTAGGCTCGTGCTGTGCTGGAACGAGAGTTCAACAACCTTCTAGTTATGGGCACAGACAGGAGGTTTGATGAAGTGAGTATTTTGGTTTTTAGTTCTATGATTCCATCCAGACTTCTTATTTGTACATACAGCCACCACGAGTTAATGAAATCCTGCACCAAACCTTGGGCTCAATTATGGGGACTTTTAACTGTAGTGTGTTTTTGGACTCCCCCTCCTGTGCATTCACTGCTGAGAGATGCAGTCAAGGGGCTCCTAGACAAGTGAGAAGATAATCTTTCCCACCTCTGCTGTCACAGCACCTAAGATTAAGAACAGTTTTCCTGTGCAGGCAGCTGACTCACTGAGATCAAAGATATTTCCACTATTGATCAGTTTCTTTGTCTTAAATTTTAGGAACGGAGTTCTGTATTTATTCACTATTAGATGTTCAGCATTTATAAATCACCAAGAACCTTTCACTACTCCCCACTTTATGGTTGTACAGTATTCAATACGGTGAACATTCCGTCAGGGCAAGGATTTATTCTTGTGCAGCAGAATATGTCCTGTCCACCACCATCCCACCAGTGTGAGCAGATTTTAAGGATGGCACAGGCTGCATGCAGGGAGGAGGAGTGGGGGGGGGACCCCTGTTAATCCTTGCACTAGTTAGTGCAGAACTGCCCGTACTGTATTGGCTGTGCTTCATTTTAACATAGGTTTGCTCTGTTCTATCTCACTAGAAGCAAGTAACTCTAGTCCTCTAACGAGGTTTCCCAGTAAGCTCCACAAACTCTGCAGTGCAGATTCTTGTGCAAACTGCACCACAAGTGAGAGAAAACAGTGTCTCTCTTCTAAGCTCTCTGCACATTCTGGAGGTCTCAGGAGAGACAGAATCTTGTTTCACTTGCAGGGAGGCTTGGGTAAGTTAAGGAACAGGAAGGACTCCAGCTGTTTTCTTATTGAAATTTCCGTGCAACTGACAAAAATCTCCACCTCTCATTGAAGCCATTTGTTCTCGCTGCATTTAGGAAGCTTGGGGGTGAAAGCGGAGCTCCTTCTGACATGCATAGCAGTTTGAAAAAAGGGGGGAAGCAGGAAAATTCCTGTAGGTTCCTTTTTTCTTTTCATGCCACAGTGCAAGTGAGAGGAAATGCCTCTGCCAATGTCCTCCCTGCATGTGCCAGAAGATTTGGTTTGTGGAGGGAATTGAGGTTAATGAGGACAGATAGAAGTTTGGTAAGCCGTCAATATTTGTTGATCCCTATTTTAACATAGGAGATTTAAGACGTTTAAGTAGAGTTTTCCATCCTCTTGTTATAGCTCTGCATTTGCTGTATCATGTTGGGCAGTGATCATGGCATGTTTTGTTCTTTGGATAAGTGTCTGGCAACTGCGAGAAAGAACTATGCCTCCTCTCTGAGTTGTCTTAGTGGGAATTGTCACCACACTTGCTGTGCTAAAGCATAGGGAGAAAGTGGATAGAGAGATGTTTTTCTGCCTCTCATAATACTAGAAAACTGGGTCATCCAGCAAAGACGAACATTGGAAGATTCGGGACAAACAAAACGAAGTACTTCTTCATACAGCGCACAGCTGAATTACGAAATTCACTGTGGAGTGAATATAAGTTGCTAGGAAGCACAAGTGGGAAAGAGGGCTGTTGAACTCAAGTTCTGCTTCTGGCCTTCCTTTAGGCATCTAGTTGACTGCTGTGAGAACAGGATGATGGACTAGATGGGCTTTTGACCTGATACAGCAGGTCTCTTACAATCTCAGGACATGTGCTATTAAATACTGTGTATTCAGGGAACAAGCCCTTCAAGTATAAGAGTAGCTTGAGGAATATATCTCAAATGTGTACTAGTGAATCTGTTTCCCACTGCAACCCTGGCTGTCTTCTGCTGTTTTCAGTCCAGTAGAGCTGGCCCAAAGTAGCACACTAACCAAAACACAAAAACGATCAGGTGTGAATAACTTTAGGATCATTTAGTTTAGGTGGCAAAGTGCCCACTTACCATGGGGAGTAATGGAGATGAGGTCAGGGCTTTTCTAGAACTTAGGTTTGATGATGATTATGCAGCACTGGAAAGAACTGAGCAGTCATATAATCAAGTAAGCCTTGATTTTAAAAAAGCAGACTAAACATATAAGAGTGAACAGGGGCAAATGGAAAGGTCAAATTTTAAAAGTGTTGGTTCATTTTTGTTCAGTATCTCAACAGAACAGAGCACAATATACACCCTCCAACCCCTCTTGGAGATCTGTGGGTGCTGTGGTTGGATGGATGCTATCCCTGGCTTGCTTTCTTTCTTTATGAGACAGCTGAGTTTCTGTAAATTGTACTCCTTCTCAATGAGTTTAAATAGTTTCTTGATTTTATCTCAAAAAGGATGATTAACTATTGAAAGGCTTTTTAGAGGGAGAGCACAAGAGGGTGAGGAGGAGGAGTTGTGGGATGAATGGTACAGCTGTGCACTGTAGCTTTCTGCTTCTGAGAAGAGAGCTGGTCGGAGGGGAATTCACAGAAGGAAAAGGCTTAAAAAAGGAGAAATATAACATCACCTTTCCTTCCTTACATTCTGTTGGAAATGCCAAAGAAGGTGATGGTGATTCAGTGAGGTGCAGGACAGACCAGGAGGGCACTTGCAAACTGGGTGAGGGACAAGGGATACTCAGGGGAAAGGGGAGTGGTCAGTGGAAAAGGGAACTCAAATTCAAGGGAATTCCAGCATGCCAGAGCTGTTAAGGCTAGGTGGAAAGAGGCTTGATTGAACAAAAGGGTAGCCCTGCAAAGGGAATTTCCAGGCACACAAAAAGGAAAGCCAACTGTCTTGTTTGTAAAAAAAGGTGGTAAGCTTTTCATTGTTTTTTTGAAGTTCAGTTTACAATACTGCTTGGATAGCACTCTTTATTTCTCAGGGCTGTAGGTAGCCAATTAATAGGCAGTACAGTGATTGAATTAGAACCAGAGGAGAACTGTAGTCCTGGAGATCTCAAGCTATTTGAATCACTCTCTCGTCCACATCAGTGAGAATTTTGTGGGAAACTCGCAGCTTGATTCGTCTGTCCAGCTAAATTTTTGCTTAGCTTATTTTCTCAGACAAAGCAAAAAGGAAACTGTTCAAGGTACACAAAATGGCAACAGAATTGCCCTTCTCACAAAAGGCTGCAGAAACGTTTCTTTTCTGCATTAATTTGGAATTCATGTAATTAATGTAGTATCTTCTAATATTTGTAATTAATGTAGTATCTTCTAAAACTGCTTATCGTATTGCATAGTTTCAAATTCCTATTAGACGGGAAAAAGATGACTAAACTTCTTTTCTTCAGAAACTGACAGCCATGGGAGTAGATAGTCTTTGAAAAGGATGCATGAATATTGGATTTTTAAACATCACCAATAAAACGAACAACGTGCAAAATATGTGGTTCCAAAGCATCTAAGAATCTAAACCAAAGCACAGTGTTCTGAGCCCTCTTGAATATTATGGTTGTGTTGTATATTAATCATATATTAAAGTGTATTGCCTTTCTTTTTTTCATGTTCAATCTTTGTTACACTTGTTAACTTGATAGGATGATGACAAAAGCTTTAGACGAGCGCCTTCATGGAGGAAGAAGTTTAGACCAAAGGACATACGGGGTTTAGCAGCTGGATCAGCAGAGACTCTCCCTGCAAACTTCAGAGTTAACACCTCAATGTCTTCACCTTCTATGCAGCCAAAGAAGATGCAAATTGATGGTAATGTAGTGCTTATTTTTTTTAAGCATGATGATGATGATTTATGCCTGAGGTTGTAAGTGTAATCATCTGCTTTCTTTGTATGGGGCGTGGGGAGGACTTAACCCTGTGCATGATTTTCAGTAATGCTTTAATTTGTCAGTGAATGATGGCAGCATTAGTAATACTATTTCAGCATTAATAACTGTTGACTTTCTGTGAGATCTAATGAAGCAAACTTTAGGATTGTCTTCAAATGATTTAGAAATCTTTTTAAAAAACATTTATCTCTGTGTGGTAATGGAACACATCTGAATCTATTATCCATGTAGCACATAATGCAATACTGTTGCATGCAATCCACAAAGTATTATTGCTGTACATAATCCAGTTTCAGCTGAGCTTGTATGGTGTTCTGCTCCAGTCCTCTTGGTGGATAGGTATTATTCAGCAGCTGGAAGTGGTAGATTCTACCAGGTATGCAAGTCTTACCAGCCAGTAAACAACCTGATTCCTTAACAAAGGGGGGGGGGGAGTCTCTGGCCCAGATGCGCTCTCTCAGTAAATGTCATTAGCCAAGACAGCCAAGGCAGTTTCAGTGAGGTGACCAGGGCTAAAGTCAGTTTGGAATGGATCCGAGTAATCAGCTTTCTCCAAGCATTCCTAAGGCTGGGCCACCATCACCTTCTCAAACATCTTGCTCCAAAACGGTATATTTGCCACTGGGCAATAGTTTTAATACTTCTGGGTCCAGGGAGGTTGTCTTAGTGAAGGGACGCACAGCTGCTTCCCCCAGGGCAGATGGGACACCTGCTATAGTGCCATCTCTCATGTTTTATAGAATTGTAGAGTTGTAAGTTACCAAGAGAGTCATCTACCTCAACTCTCTGCAATGCAGGAATCTTTCGCCCAATGTGGGGCTCGAACCCATAATCCTGAAATTCAGAGTCTGGTACTCTACTGACTGCGCTGTCCCCTTTCCTCTCTTCATTTTGGTTAGTTCTTTTATGAGCTATGCTAGTCAGGTATATGGAGAGGAACTGTGTCAGTACTGGCACAGGAGCATAAGGCTAGGAGTCACCTGACCTTAAACACCTAAGTGAGAAGCTGCCATGTGAATATAGCTAGTACGAGGCTTATAAATTCATGACCCTGGGCACCACATGGAATGCTGCTCTAGGGATAAAGCTGTTAAAGAACCTAGGAAGCTGTCTTACACCAATTCAGAGCGTTGGTCCATTAGTATTGCTTCCAATTCCTGAGGCCCTCTGCACACAAAGTGTGTCTTTTGTTGGCTGTGACACCTTTTCCAAATTTGTGATTGGGGCGTGTGGTTGTTTTGACCTACTTAGGAGAATGGAAAGTATATGCTGGTGTAGTTTGGCGGGCTGCAGCCAATTTGACAATTAACGGTGGCCCTCAATATGCGCAAGGTTTTCCCATCCTTTTCATAAAGTGGCTTACAAATACAAAGTAGTGAATATGTAGCCAATTACTTTACATTCTGCGTAGCTAACATTTTGTAACTTTATGTTGTTACTGTAACTGCATTGATATGTGATTCTAATACTAACTGCATGCTGTGTTCTGCATGTCTTCCTGATTGTTGGAATAGGCAATGTATCAGCAACACAAAGATTGGATTCTGCTACAGTAAGGACTTATTCATGTTAAAGCCTTTTATTGGTAAGTAACAGTGATAGCCTCCTTGTGGTGCATTGATGTTTTTAAACTTACAGTATACAAATATAGGAACACATTCTTGACACCTTTCTGGTTGCTGTCTGTGGCATGCTGAAGTCCACATGGATTCGGAAGATGTCCCCCAGAACCACAAACTGCTGTCCAGCCTCATGAATTTCGAAAGCAGTTTTGTGATTCAGCCACGCAGCTGTAAAGAGGAAGCTGGTGTAATAGTCCACATACAGCCTCAATCTATAATCCCCCTTCAAACAGCTGTCATACCTAGTCCCTAAACTACTTTTTAAACTTCGTAATTTAGACATAAGTTTGAGTTCTGTGGGGACACCTTTTGAAAGGCTCTGGGCGCAGGAGTCACACCCCCTTCTTTATTTATTTCTGTATTTCTGTTGTCTTTGTGAAATGGGCAGTATATAAATATTTTAAATAAATCTACATTAGATAAATGTAAAAAAATAAATATTTTCATGCGCTGATAACTGTACTTTCAGCACCAGGCTTTCTAGTTTGTTTTTGGAAGATTGAAAAGGGGGAACTTTTATGTAATGTGCAAATAACTTGTATTGGGGTTTGTAGTGTTGTAAGTACAAATACATCTGTATACTTCAAAATTTTTATTCTGTTGTACTGGGTAAGTGAATGAACAAAAAGCCATGCCGGACGCTGCTCCTTACCCTTTAAAATTCTGTCCAACCCTTAAGGACTATAACCCTGCTTTAAGGAATAAAGGCTGCTGTCAGAGCTGCTTCAGGTCCCAGCTCACAAAGGACCAACGCCAGTATCTCTTTATATACAAAAGTCTTTATTGAAGTTCATTGTTGGTTTTACAGCCGTGGCGCGCAGCCCTACGTCTGTAACTCTAGACCGTCGAAGCTCCGTCTGAGTCTCCTCCCCCCAGACACCAGTTTAAGACCCTAGCCTTCCTCCACCTCTTCCTCTGCTCCCTTTTCCTCTGGGTCCGCCTGTCCGCCGGGGTTTTCCCCTTTCTGGATTCTTCTGACGCTGACTCCCCCGAGTCTTCCCCCTCCCTCCGGCGGGCTTTAGGACCTGGTTCCCAATCCTGGCTTTCTGCTGTCCCGCGCGCCTGTACATTTGAACTTGGCGCGCGCGCCCAGCCTGCCACCTTCCTTCTGACCGTTATACTGCTTCTGTCGCTGCTTGCCGGAGGAGAGGCTGACTCTGACCTATGAGACTCTTCCCCCCCACTACGCTCCGGTGGGGAAGCTGGCCCTGATTTCCAGCTACTGCTCTGGGAGTCTCCGCTGGCCCCCTGCTTCTGGTGTGTCCTCCCTGGGACCCCCCCTTGCCCTGGCTATCGGCGCTCCCTTCTGGGAATCTTCTGATTCACTGGAGAGGCTCATGGAATCTCTCGGGTCACTGTCATTCTGCCCTCCGCTGCCCTCAGATTCTTCCCCTTCGCTCTCCATTTCCTCTCTCCCCTGTGCCTCTGCTCCTGAGCCCCTGACACCTGCCTTCATGGGTGTTACCAAGGGAAGGCAGGGGGGCAGCCTGGCTACGCCCATGGCTAGATCAGCCTCTTCAAGTAAATGGTTTGGTTTTTGTTTAAAATATGTCTGCCTTAATTATATCTTTGGGGAGACAGTGCATGGGAATACGTAACATTTTATTGTATAGAAGACTGATTTATAAAATATTCTTGTTCTTCGAAAGCTACCTATAGGAAGTGCTTTACAGCTAGTTGTGCCTCTGGTGCAGTTGCACTCGTGGGGCCGAGAGGAGTAGCCCACTGGTGCTGTGACACTTCTGAGTACAGTGGTGCCTTGCAAGACGAAAATAATCCGTTCCGCGAGTCTCTTCGTCTAGCGGTTTTTTCGTCTTGTGAAGCAACCCGCTTAGCGGATTAGCGCTATTAGCGGTTTAGCAGCTTAGCGGCTATTAAAGGCTTAGCGGCTTAGTGGCTAAGAGGCTATTAGCGGCTTAGCGGCTTAGAAAAAGGGGGGGAGCGAAAAAAATCACAAGACTCGCAAGACGTTTCCGTCTTGCGAAGCAAGCCCATAGGGAAAATCGTCTTGCGAAGCGCATCGAAAAACGGAAAACCCTTTCGTCTAGCGGGTTTTTCGTCTTGCGAGGCATTCGTCTTGCAGGGCACCACTGTAAAGTCATTCCATACAACTGATCAGCTTTTGGATGTAGAGGAAAAGGGAAGTCTTGGCAGAGTTTGGTTTCCCCCCTTCCTTTGCCTAACAGCCAGTTGGCACTGTGACAGGCTTTCACTGCCTCCCTTGATTGAGGCTGTGAAAAGAGAGTAAAACTGCATGTAGTCTCCCCTCTGTGCTTGTCATTCCTTGGATCAGAGAGATGGTGCATACATTTTCCTGACTTGACTTCTGCAACTAACTGAATCTTACTTTATTTTCAGTTTATCCCCACTATTTCTACAGATGACCTGAAACATTTTGAATCAAAGACCGTATTTTGGAAACAATTCAAATCTTTAATCTTGTTAATACTTGTTAAATCAACACTTTGAAATATTTTATTACAGAGTTTTTAATTAGATGAATTTGTGAGTACTATAGAGAAAGTATTTTAGACTTAAATGTTTCTTATATTTATGTAAGTGTATGTGAGTCTTATTACTTACCTTTGTATTCAGGCTATAAATCAAATTACTGCCGATTTGTTAATTTTAGTCTCTTCAACTGAATGTACTGTAATGCTTGTATGTATCTACCCCTATAAGCAATGTAGGATTTTTGTAAATTATGCAGTTATTGTAATTATCAGTAATAAGTTTTTAATAATAAACACAGGTGAAAAGGATTTTACTATCTTTGTAAAGGTATCCTGACTCAAGCAGTATATATATTTTGCCATTTGGAAAATGCTAGCTAGCTCTAAAATGTTAAATAAATCCCATTTTTTCAGAGAAGCATATGTTTATTAATAAAGTGGGCATGGTACCTGCTTCTATTTCCGTTCATAACTCTACTTTTTCCACCTAGCATATGATTTTAATGTGGATTTATTTAAGTCTTCTGTTCAATATAACTTGCTTTAAATGAAATTCTAAAATGTGGGATTTATTTGAATACTATGAAATGTGTGTGAGACCTGGTGAGCTCATTTATAACTACTTTTTTGTGGCTATATTTGTACAGTCTATGTTCATTGACTGAGCATAAGCCATAAGCGGAAATATTTTCTCTTAACTGAGGATAGCTCCTAATAGTACTCAATAGGCAACAAAGTGCTCTCCTGTATTTTGATGTGAAATTGTTTTTCAGAAAAATACTGATGCAATTCTTCTAAGTGGACCAATCATGATGCGCAACTGTCTCATGACGAAAATGCTGATGGCCCATGAGGCTAAAGCGTGTAGTAGTGCAACTATTAAAAAGGCCTTATTTTTCTTACGCCATCTTTTGCATATATTTATAAACTTGTTTTAAATTCTGGACGAAAGATTAATTGTTAATAGCGTTAGCCATTTCAACCAATATAAGTAGAAAATGCATCATTCTTTTTTTAAATAGCATCTTAAGAGGCCAGCGAGGAATGAGTTCAGATTATGGTGCATTATTTATTATGCAATAATATATACAGCATGTCTTTTTCTGTTTTGGTTTTGGCTCTTTTTAATTGTACGACTGAAATCCATTGTTACTGTTTTGTTGTTTTTCTATTAATCTTTTATGTGTACTTCTGATTATGTAACAAAATATGTACAGACTAAGTACTTTTGAACTATTTTTATCACAGTATTATTTATTGCTTTCTTTCAATAAAGTACTGAAGCATTTTTTTCCACTGCCAACAATGGGGCTTGAAGTGTTTTGAAGTGAGATTTCAAGTAATTAATTGATGTGGATGAGATTTCTTGTGAAGCATCCAGTCATGTTCCCTTTTGCTGAAACCAGCTTTCCCAGCCCAGGTGCCCTCCAGATGATTTTGGAGCACAACTTCCAGAATTGGAGTACAACTTGGATGAGGCTGGTCTGAACTGAGGCAAGTCCCATTTCCTTCAAGACACTTAAGCTACCCGTGGTGTAGCACAATGTGATGTTCTAGTAGCTTTGCACTACAACTCCCATTCTCCTATTGCCCATGCTGGCTGGGGACTGATGTGAATTACCCAGAACATCTGGAAAGCACCGCCTGTGCTGTGTCACAGTCTGTTTACGTTCCTAAAGTGTAGCCCTACATTAGATTGCGGCTTTGATGGTTAACTCCATTGGACTCCAGTGCAACTTCAGAGTAAGCCTGCATAACAATGCATGGCTGAGCACCTCAGCTGTGTGCAAGAACCCTGCTGATGAAAATTTGTCTCAAAATGTGCCACATAAAACAAGCATTTCTAAAATGCTTCAGTAAGTGGGTTGCTTTTAAACCTTTTGAAGTTCACCCCACAGTTGAACTGATGAAACTGCTGTTGCCTTCTGCCATCCGCTTGTTTTCTAAATGGCTGCTTAGCCCTGTGACCAGGAGCTATTGTCATGTAATCTGGGGATTATCTCCCCCCCCCCTTTTCATCTATGCTATTCTAGCACTTTAGTGTAGAAACAGATTAATATTTCTGGTAGCTATAGCAACTCTATGTTGAATGTGCTTTCCTCAATATTGAATGATAACAGGAACCAGCCTCGGTTCTCTCTGCAGTTATTTCAATGCAGATGAATCACACATTTCCCCTAGCTTTTCCTTTCTCAGTGGTTCACAACTTGCCGCTCGCATTTTGAGGTGCAAGCACAGAATCAAACAAAACAGCTGTTTGCTACCCTAGAGGCAAGGAGTTGCAGCTTCTTTTCCTTCCATACTTGCATCTAAAACCCTGGAAAGGAGGAAGATTAATGTTCCCAGCAGTTTCCCCTTTTAATTCTGTATCAGTATCTTAGACCTTGGGTAGTCAGTGTGGTGTCTGGGGCAAACTCTCTCAGTAAAAATGGGAGCAAGGTAATATGACCAGGTTGGAGGCACTTTAAAATTTAAAACACCTCCTGACAATAATTATTGAGAGGTAGGAGATTCTCTGTACATGGTAGTGTTTACTAATGCAGCAGCAAGGATTCTTTATATAAAGGAAAACCTGAGGCCACTTATCCCTCAACCAGTAGATCAAAGTATGAATGAGGCATGTTGGAAACAAGACTGGAATTTTATTTATACACATTCAGTGAGGGTTAAAGCTCAGTGATTACTCTGGGAAGGTACAACATTTTGTTTGTCAGATCACTTTACAGAAGTAATTAAGAACTTTACTTAAAGCTTTACTTTAAACCTGTTTCTAATTAAACTAATTGTTCCAAGAATGGTTATTTACTCAGCCAGTAAAACACTTTCAGACTCCTCCTAGAATCTTTTCCTTCCCTTCAGAGAAATAATCTGGGGTGCCCAGCCTAGCGAAACCCTGACCACCCAGCCAAGCCTTTAAAAGCCTAAAATCCATCTAAGCGCTATCTGACCATTTATGTCAGGTTCTCTTCTTTAACTCTCCACTCCCTTGTGATTGGTCAACACTCTCCCCCCAGCCCTCATTGGCTTCTGGGTCTCCAGGGGCTTGACCCAAGGCCCAGTGTCCATAAGGGTCCTCCAGATAACTATTCCCATCATCCCTGACCATTGCCCATGTTGGCTAGGGCTGGTGAGAGCTGCTGTCCAACAGTATCTGGAGGGCATTACATTGCTTAGCCCTGACTTAGATCCGTATGAGCCTTTCCATCACTTGAGATCTGGCTGGCTCTTCTCCCCATGCCATAAGAAAAGTTTTCTGCTTCAGTTTTGCAAAATATTCTCTCCTGGAAACGGTGATGCTCTCCAGGCAGAAGTCCAGGGTCCTATTCAGCAGAATGATAGACACACAGAGAGAGCAGGGCTAGATTTGCACATTTTGAAGCAATGCGATGTAGCAAGTGATGGTGCTAATATTTGGAAATCTTGTTGAGGTCAGCCACAACAGTTTTAAGAGAAGCTTTTAGAAACTTGTTTTTTAGCATATAAGTCATGTTCCAAATTTCATTCAGCTATAAATTCCATAGATGGAATAAAGTTGCTTTTCTAGACTCTTCCTCACATTTTTACCACATTAAACTGTATTGTGAGTCATTGCTCTTCTTTCCCAATGGTGTAACATCTCTCATTTACCCTAAAAAAGGTCTGCAGGAAATTGTATCCGAGAACATTTTTTTTTTAAGTTGCAGGTTTCCAAAGAGTAGAAAAGTGTTCCTTAACAGTTTCCAATACATACATACATACATACATACATACATACATACATACATACATACATATTTTTAAGCAGTCGGTCTCTGCTCCGTGCCCCAAACATGAGTTTCCAACAGTCATCATTGCTATTATTTGGAGTTCAATAGACAACTTTTTTAAGCTATAGAAATGCCATTTTTAAAGCTTGGATCTCTGAAGTTTGGACTTAGATGGTAAAAAGAGTGTTCTGTTTACCTATTTTTCCCATGCACATGCCTGGCAAAAGCAGCTAGAGGGCTTCCCTCGTCTACAGGAGCTTGGCTGGGGAGAAGGGAAGCAACCTGAGGCAGAAAAGTGGAAGTGACCCGTTATTCCAGGTCAAAGACTGTTGCTTTTGTCCTCCCTCTGCTGAAGCCCTGGATCCCTCCAGCTCCTTTCTTCCTCATTTGTGATGGCCCTACACAAACGGTCATGTGAGGCTGTAATTTCGGGGGCAAAGTGCCATCAGTATGCTAGTGATACTCGGCTCTATTTCTCCACAACATCTCAATCCGGAGAGGCCGTGCAGGACCTGGACTGGTGCCCAGACACAGTAGTGGGTTGGATGAGGAAAAAGAAACTGAGCTTTGAATCCCAGTAAGATGGAGGCGCTGTGGGTGAATGGTTTCCTGTGTCTGAGAAATTGGCCAGTTGCCGTCCCTGGATGGGGTTGTGATTGGAGGCCTCAGTGGCTAGGAGTGGCTTCTGTTTGCTTTGACTGGTGCAATAACAGGATCGGGATAGCTTGTTGCACATTAATGTTCAGGCATTAATGACTTCAGTATTGGATTACTATGCAGGACTTCCCTTGTGCTTGACCTGGAAACTGCAGCAGGATCGCTGACAGGAGCGTATCTTGCTCCGAGATCTGCAGTAGCTGCCGGTATGTTACCAGGTCAAGATCAATGTGTTACTGTTAGTATATGGCTCTCAACAACTTGGGGCCAGTTTTCTTAAAGGGGGCCTCACCTCATATGTGTCCAGTCAGCCACTTCAGTCTGTGGGACTAGCGCTTTTACAAGTACAATACAGTGTTCATTCCACGCTTGCAAGAAGCCAACTTTTCAGTGTTGCAGCACCTACACTTTGGAATTCTCTGCTCATTGATATTAGGCGGGTGCCTCCTCCAAATGGTTTTTCCGTGCCTACTAAAAACTATTTTAGTTCCAGCAAGGCTACCCAGGCATGTAATCTTAATATGCAGTTTTAATGCCTCATTTTAGTAAGTACAACTGTTTTAAAATTACAGATGTTATTTTAAAGCTTAATTTTTTATGTGACTTGTTTTTAATGATTTTTTTTAAATTAATGTTTTAGGCTATCTAAGCCGTTTAGAGGTCTTTTGTTCTAGTGACGGTATGCAAATTTTGTTAAATAACCCCATGCCCATTTTAGCTGAGAGCCAACCCCACTGAAATCAGTGAGACGTGGTTTACTTTTGGATCGACGTTGTGATCCAATTGCTAATAAAATTTCCCGCCCACCCACCGGCCGACTTGAACGCCTGGGTTCCCCCACTCCCACCCTCTGAATGGCAAAAGCCATTGCACGCTTTGGTAAGAAACGATGCTCCCATAGCGGGCTGGGGACCCGAGCAAGCGCGTTAGAAAGAGGCGGCGCAGAGAGAGGGTCCGGGAGCTTTGGCATAGGAGATGCGAGGGGCGCATCGGGGGGGCTTCCAATATAGGCGACCCCCGTTTCCGCGGACTTGCTGCGAAGCCCGCCCGGAGCCGAGTGCCAACCACCACCGGCAGCTCGCTTTAGTCCTCTCCCACCTGATGACGCGCTGTGATGAAAAACAGGAAACGGGATCTTGGGAGAGGCGGAAATTGCAGCACCAGCCGAGTTAGGAAGCCCCAGCAGGGGAAAGCGAGGAGACGCTGCATCGGGAGAGGAAGGCGCCTGGGCAGCCAGGAAGTGGGCTGCGAACAAAGTAAGTGGCAGGAGCCCGGCCAGGTGCTCCCTCGCGCCGCTCGCCTTTAGCGCCAGCCACGGGGAGGCTCCTCGGCGCAGCAAGATCCGCAAGCCGGGAGGGTCCCTGCCGCCCGCGATCCGCTTGCTCGTAGCGGGACTCGGCTCTTGGCTGGAGCGGGGAGGTGCAGCCGGGCGTGGGGGCTTTAAAAAAATAAAATAAAAAATCAAGTGGGCGGGTGGGGGGGTGCCTTGGCTCTGATTTCTGCGCCACGCGCAGCATAGCCATCCCGGGGATCTAACTAGGGCATCGGCGCTGCAAGGTGGGGCCCGTACCTGGAGCAGCCCAGATTGAGATTTGTGAGGGGAGGAGGAAGGAGAAGAGTCGTATAGGGAGGGAGGAAGTGGGGGCTGGGGTGCCACATGGCATCTCCGTGGCTGGCTGGGTGGGCTGCCTCGCTTTGATCGCCCTTTGTTCTTCGGTGGCGACGAGGCAGCTGATCGAAGGGGGCTGAGCCGCTCTTGCTTCCTTGTCTGGGACGCTCATTCCCGAAGGGAGGGGAGCGCCTTCCCCGCTCGCTCTTCCGCTCGCCGGGCGTGCCCGCGCTCCGTGCCTGCTCAAGGAGGCAGCATCGTGCCCGCCCCCCTGGGCAGTTGGCATGTTCCTGG